TCCTCTATGGTGAAGTTACTACCTACGCATGAAACTGATCGAGGAGCAGCACCTATAATATCATTGGATGTGAGTCCACTTGCCAACAACTACCTGCATAGACCATATAGACCATATTTCCTGCTCCTGATAGGAGAATGAATTCGGAGAAAATGAGGATGAGGTAGCAATATCGCCCCATTCGAACAAAGTCATCATATGACCGGATTTTCGATAACGGTAATACTTTATCTAACTCAACTATCTTCGGATCCGCTGTGGACATAGTCTGAAAGAAGTATCTTTAATCTAGAAGACGCATTCATCAGTTCGATTCTCTATGTAAGTTCGGCGTCCTCTATGATTGCTCCCAGTTAACTGTTTCCAAATTTGTAGATTGGGGTGGAAACATCAAATTATGGTAAGCCTCGTGTTTGATATGATAATTCTCTTGATTTCCATTTCGAATAGTTTTTGAACCTTCAAATCATCTTTGTATTCCGGAGTTCTAACTCTATTGCCGTTTAACTTAGTAAGGATTTTATCCAATTTGATTATTAGAGCCAATCAGGTGCAGAAAGTTCTACTTCCCTATATTATACAAATGATATTCGTTCTTTTCATTCTTCTGAAGTGCATAACTTCAAACTCATTTGTTTCATTTGGTTATGTTCATCACATTGAAAGCGGTTGCGTCACCAACACTGTTCTCTGAAACAATTACTATGTGTTGTGTGAAACAGCTGAACGATTCGATAGTTCCCATTTCTCTCTTATTTAGGTAAGCAAAAATGTAAAAATTATTTATTTATTATTATATTATTATTCTTTGGGAAAGAGCATCACAAATTAAATAAATAAAAATTCTGTACAAAACGGAAATCTTTGTACCCAAGTTAATTCGACGTGCTGTTCATTTTTTTCTTACGGTATTTATTAGTCCCAATGGCTTTCAATACTTGAGCGAGTTCGATCAAATCTTTCCTGTAAAAGTGATTGTTGGCGAATATGCTCAACTACTGATTCTAACCTATGTGTATGACAGTAAAGCACTGTGTCCCACATCATCTCAACTAAATCACTATCGTCTGATGCATCCAACACGATATCCTACAGAAAAATTAATAACTTTCTCAGCTTCAAGCTTACTTTGAACAATGGAGAGTTAAGCCTGAAGTAGGGCCGATTCAGAGCGTGACACCACGATCTGGATCGCGCAATCGGAGCTCCTTCTGTAGCAGTTGCCTAAACATCTGATTTACTATCAAACTATCATTTTCCCCTACCTGATCTAGAACCATAAGAGATAAATTCTTAATTCCACGTAGTAAACCAAACATATCACTCATCTATAAAAACGCTAGTCTCTTCCGACTATACTTCACGACTACCTCGAATACGGAAGGATCAACTGGATACACAGGAGTTATGCCAGTTCCCACTGACACAACACATCCGACATCAACATTCGATTCAATTTTCTTAACAAATTCTCTTTTAACATACACTAGCTTTATCCAAACCTTAAACGCGCATGTACTCTTATAGAAGTGAATTTCGCTGAGCAAATCAAGAGTTGGGTTATTAGAAACCATTCCACCATCAATGAACTTTCCTTCGGATGCAGAAAAGTAAGTTGGGGCAGCACTACTCCTTCTGGCAGCTTTCCATAAAGGAATTTCTACAAGCAATAGAAAAGGAGTCAAAGTGGGCGATCAAACCTGCTGGATCATGGAAACCAAGTTCATTGTTCTCCTCATCTGTTAGGGGCAACCTATAGTTCCGCAACAATTCCAATTGAACGGGAAAAGTATCCGCTCGCACAGTAGTGAAAAAGAAACTGTAAATATATATTTTTTTTCCAAAACCACAAGTTTACCGAGGATATTTGATATCACTTAGTTTCACATCGCCCCCAATGCATTTCTTCATAAACTCTTCTAAAGCTATGGAACTGTATGGTCTAGTCCAAGAGTCAAAGAGCTCATCTTTGAAACGGAGATATACTTTTTGAATTTCTCGTAAAGATTTTCCTTAAAAGCTTTTAATAGGTATCAATATGCTTTCTATCAACCTGTCATTATTGCAGAAGCTATCAGCGTTCCTGTACTGGTTCCGGCCACCCAATCGAAATAAGAGAAAACTGGAGAGTCCAAGTATCTTTGGAGACAAATTAAAATCTGGAAAATGAAATGGACCTCAATACTGCGGCAGTGAAGCATACCTGTGTGCTAACTAGTCCTCTGATTCCACCACCGTCTAGTGATAGAACATTCATGAGATTAACATCTTCTTTTTTTTGGAATTCCTTCAATCTCTCCATTACAGCCCGAATGGCTTGCTGAATATATTTCTTTAAAGTCGTTCTGATAGTCATTTTTACCTGTTGGGGAAAATTCCGGATGGGGTTCGAATCGTGATACGTTTGGTCTTGTTTCCCACCTCTATCTGGATCAACTTCATACTCATAAGCACTAGTAGCCGACTGGGAATCAACAGCTAATTTTGATAACTTGCGGCAAACAGATGATTCAGAGTCTGAATTCCATGATGAATTGAAGTTGAGAGAAAATAAAAACCGCTGTCACAAATTTTCGGTTCAGGAACGAAGTTATCTCGGTGGACACAAAACGTTGTGCATCCCACAAAACCTTGAGGACACGAACTTGCACCACAGATAATCAGACATCTCACAATCTCCATCGCAATATCACTGCACAAGTCAATTAAATGAGGAAGCCAGCTTCTGAAAACTTACTTGTTCTTGAATTTAGCAGCAAGATGTCGGGGGGATTCCTTATGATTATTTATAATGTTTGGTTCAGCACCCAAGCATAACAGAGCTTTCACAATCTCAAGATTCAAGTTCTGAAAAAGGTTTGAGTCTGTTCATGAATGAAATGGGATCTATCAAACATACAGAAACTGCAAGATGTAGAGGACTGTTGCCATTGTTATCTTTAGCATTTATATCAACCTGAAAGCGTATTTCAGTGATAAGACTCATATAGTTACAAGTTACATTATATGCTGCTATGGCCATGATAAGAGACAAATCACTTCTTAGTATATAAACATGGAGTGGGGTTTGCATCAAAGAGTTTCGTACATCCAAATGCAGTTCTTCCGACTAAACATCATATACTTTCCAACTCTGAAGAAAAACTTACCTTCAAATCCAAGAGAGCAAGAAGAGTTTTCTTGAAAGAAACTACATGCAATGCTGTATTGCCAGTCAAAGACTCGGAATCTTTCAGAGAATCAGGATAGGCTTCAAAAATCGCTTGAAGACTTCTGGAAAGAATTTGCATAACTGTTCATTTTCTCAGAATCAAATTACGCGACATCCATTTTTGGTTTTTTCATTGCTTCCAATAAAGGAGAAACATTCTTCAAAGATCCAGGTACCCGTAGCAAACCTCCTTTACAATTCATATTAATCAATAGATAACGAAGGCGAAACCGTAAGATCTGAGTGCTTTTGCACAGAAGGGGTTTCCCCCCATCACAGCCAGATAGAATGGAGTACTTCCATCGTTATTGGTGGCATTTATGAGATTATCACATTTCCCAGAATCCATCAAAAGCTATAGCATGAACTTCAGGAATGAGAGCAAAAAAAAAAATAAACCTTAACCATTTCCGCGCTTGCTGTAGCCGCATAATGTAGAACGTTATTGTGGTTTCTCGAATCAATTTTGAGGTCTTCGCAACATTCTGTTACTAAATAATTAACTAGCGACATGCTGAAAACAGAAGATGAATTGCTATTCAGACAAAAATCTAACTGATTGTGTTGTACAGCGATGATGAGAGGAGTCATTCCTTCTGGTTGAGACAAGATATGCATTTGTCTGAAGAAACTCGAAGTTATCAAAAATTTCGGCAGATTCTATACTAACCCCCTTACTTTCCTCTTCCGTTCTTTGAAAAACTCTTCCAAGCCTAGTACGGCAGCTATGTGAATTGGTTTCCATAGCAGATGTTCTTGCAGGATAACTAATAGTTTCTTGACAAACTCAGCCCGACTGGACGAGTCTGTAAATAGCTTTATACAGTGTTGAAACGGGTAACAATATTTCTTACACTTTAAGGAGCATCTGAACAAAGAACGAGATTCTCTACATCTTTCGCAGAGGGCTATCACATCAGTAACCTGGAGAATAAATGTTTTTGTTTTCCAATAATCTCGTTGTCTCTCATTCTCTCACCTTTCGACTTCGGAACAACGATAGCAACCTGACGTTGTCCTTTGTGCCCGTCCAAAATCGAAAAACTAGATGATTCAGAGGGGGTTTGAAGATTTCTTTTTCCTCTCTTAAAACAAAAAGGCATACAAGACGTTGGAAGTTACAATTTTTACGTAGTGATCTCGTTGTTCATAGCATTAGGTTCCAATTCTTCTTCTACTTCTTCTTCTTCTTCCTCTTCTTCTTTTCGACTCTGAGTAAAAATTTAAATGTTTCCAGATAATTCTAACCTCATCAGCAGACATAACGTAGAATGCTCCATTCGAATTCAAGTCTTCCTCTCCTGGAAAGATAGCGAGCATGTTGTTTATTATATGAATGTTGCAACTACGAACCTATGAGTGGATAAACTTTTTTGTATCTCGTTACTATTGCTGTTGGAACCTCCACTACTTCATTTGGATCAGTAGGAACCCAACTGAAAGCATCGAATTATGAATTTTCCGAATAGTCGCTAACGACATACGAGTCAGTTCCAGAAGCATAAGAAGCTTTTCTACTATTCTTCCATATATAGTTGGATACAACAGAAAAATAACTGAGAGAATAAATGAGTGAGAGGAATGCACAAGAACAAAAACCTTAATACATTCTTATCGTCTAAGTCAAGCTCTGCGTGACTGTCGTTCTCTTCATCGCTGGATGAACTCGACTCGCAAGGCGAGATATTGGAGGAAGCATCGTATTTTTTCATACTCGATAAACTGACCTGAAGTTTAATATGAAAAGAGGACGATGAACTAAATACCAAAAAACTAATGAAAATATTTTCAATAAGGAATGAATGACTCACATAAATTAACAGAAGAGAAACATAATGCAACATAAGAGAGGGAGAGAGAAAGAAAGAAGAAGAGACAGAGAGGGAGACGGAGAATAAAAGAGAGGAAAGAGATAGGAGCAATTGGGAAAGAATGACGAGAGGCAATAACATGTTTTGTGTAGAAGCAAATCGATGCACCACAAAGCGAACAGAAAAACCAAAAAACTTTAAGAACTCACCTTTTCATCAGTTTTTCCTCCTATCCCAAAAAAGGACATGATTTAATCCACCGTCGTCTGTAATTACAGATGAAATTAACAATGAAATATCCGAAATGAGAAAAGATGAAGAATGGCAAACATATCCGAAAGAATATTGGAAAGATAGAAAGGTTGGTAGATTTATCGTTTGAAAATAAAATGTGAAACTAAAAGAGTAACGGATTCTCGAACATTGGCCAAATAACCTTTACGATAAAGGCTAAAAAATTGGATTTTCTGTCTAATTGCTGTTTCAGTTTGATCTCAAAGTTCTTTTGGTCTGAGCGTATATTGTACCCGTTGATAACTTCAAAAACACAAGAGTTTTCTAAGAGAAAGCGAATGATGAACATATAAGAGAAGAAAAGAAGTACCGTTATCGACTTCCCAAGTTATTTTAAAAGTAGCTAGTTGACCATTACAAATGGTGGAAAAAATAAACCCTTCTCCTGTCTTTAGCGACTGGGAAATGTTAGAGTACAGGGTGACTATTACGAACTGTAAAATAATATTTCATAACTCTTAGTCATACATACAAACTAACAGCTTCAATTTTTTTTTCGTTCAAAACTGCAGCTTGGTTTGACCAGCTTTTCAAAACTGATAAATCGCTTTGAAGCTCTGAAAGTGAAAGCAAAAACAGTGAGAAAAGTAATTCAAACACATAACCTCTTATATCAACGTTCATTTTCAAAATTTTCTTAGTAGCTTCCATACAGACGGCTTTTTTCAAAGCTTCTTGCTCTCGTTCAAGTTCTTTCCTCTTGCTTTCAATTCTTTCGATCTTTCAAAGACATACAGAAATCAAAAATAATATTGCACAGACCTTCGATAAACCAATCTTAGAACTGTCGGCAAAGATTTTTTGAGAAGTCGAAAAGGTATATTTAATTAATTCCTCTCCCATATTGGGAATATTAACTCAATACAATTGTTTTCTTTACTAAAAAGATCAAAAACGATTAAAAAGAATAAGAGAATGAAAAAAACATGAAAACGCTTAGTTCGGCACTAAAACGTGATAGCCTGAATTGATAAAAATCACGAAACGAGCTTGAAAACACTGAATTTAGACAGACATTTGAATACGAGACCCTTTCTAACTCACAAGACCTAAATGAAATTGGGGCGCTTTTCAGACCAGTATTTTTAGCTTTGTAGCAGAAACAGGCAAGCGATGTTTTCATGAATGAAAGTACACTTAGAAAGATTCTCGGAAGTCGAACTTTCACGTTCTATCATCAATCATATTTTATAATCAAAGAAAATATTGTCAGTCAGGAAATTTGAATATTCAACTCGTATGCAGGTTTTATTTGCATTATCGATGAGGCGAAGAGCGGTTGCATTCGTCCGATTGGAGTGAAGGCGGTCGAATTTCACAGCTTAAACGTAAGTTTGTGTTTACTTAAGGTTTTACTCTTTTTTTTTGATTCTTTTGCATGTTTTATGAACAGAAATCATGAAACCTTCTGAAAGTTGGTCATCTGTTTTGAAGATCTCGCATTTCATACCTTCATCTATCTTTCTTGCCGTAAATTATGACCAGTTTTGGATAATCTCGTCCTCATTTGTATAAAAGCCATAAGATTTCCTGAAATTTTCTAACTTATGATGATTATTCGAACATTCTGTGTCTTATTCTTTCTTACCACAGCTTATTGTGAAAACAGCGTTCATTGGCGTGAGTTTTTTCCCAAATCAAACAATTCACTTCACAACACTTTTCATTCTTAATCAAGCCATCAATATTTTCAGAATGGAGACTATTAAGTTGCCAATCTCGAAATGATTTGGAGCCTGCTTCTTGTTCAATCAAGTTATTGGAGACTGAAAGAGATGAACATCCACGAAATGTTACATGGAACCCTTGCCATCAGGTACTTCTTGTTGTAACTTTCATGATCTTTGAAGATTGTTTATAGGAGGCAATAGATGGGAAAGATCGCACTTATTGTAACCTTTTGTGTCCACAGGCCGATACTGTTTACTTGATCAAACGGAGCCCCAATAATCATAGACGATGTTTTGGCTCTATCACTTATAAAATAGAGAAGAGAGAAACAGACTTTTACATGTGGACTGAGAAGAAGTGAGTTGTTTTTGAATTTTTTGCAAGATAAGCATTTACTTGAACTTAAGGTGTCGTACATCTGATGTTGAATTTCTTGTTCGTTGTGAATTCGCCTTCCCTCATTCCCATTTTCCCAAAGATGATGTTATCGTTTCGAACGCAAAGAAGTTAAAGAAATTCTGATGTGCTGGAAATGTGTTTATTACAAACAATTTTAAAACAAACTATCTACAAAATAAAGAGATCACAGGTTAATGCTAGATATCTTTAAGGCTAAAAACTGGACAAAACTAAGAAAAAAAGAAAATAGATGGGCGATATGATTACATTAAAACTATAACTATGATTAACATGATCGTGAATCCAAGCTAGCTCGAAGACAAGGAGAAGCTTTGAAATTACACCCTTTAAAAGGTTCAAGGATAAAATATACGGAATATTTCAGAAAACAAAGAGTGTCAAACATCTCTATGTTAAAAATGAGATCGTTAATTAATCTGTTTCACAGATATTTCAGTCAAGATCTATCACCTCAGGTGTTCCTCGTGTAACTAACGGAGCTGGTAAGCGGAAATCTGCCGGATCAAAATATTCGGGAGCAGTAACCATACCTGATGAAAGCGAAATGAAAAGAGACATATCAACATGGCAAACCTGTAGCAAAAATAGACCCTTCCGCATTCAATATTTCAGCATTCGGTGCTTTCAAGTAAAGTCCTTCTCCAGACCTTACTAATACAGCTTCAGATCCTTTAGGCAAGCAACGCATTTGAGAATTATTCTCCACAAGCGGCAATTGTATATCTATAAAAACGATTTAAATTCGGCGAGAATCAAAAAACAACACCTCGATCCAGAATTATACGCTGCATTTTTCCAGATCTGCTAGAAATGATTTCTGATGCATGTTGAGCGCCAGGAAATGAAAGACCCGGAATCCAGTTAGAAACATCTGAAAACATTTCGCATCTACAAAGAGAAACCTTAACTTACGTTGTATAAACCTAGGTGGATCTTGATATTCCTGATTACTTCGTTGCGGGGGCTGGAAGAATAATGAATAAACTCAAAATAAACATCAAATGTACCATGTAATAGTTTTGGTGCATTGGATTACGCATATGAGGATGATGAGATATGTCTTTCATGGCACCAGCCATCGTCACTCCTCCACCAGAAACACTTCAAAAACAGTAAATTCAAACAATAAGATATGAGAAACAAACCCATTAGGCATTTTGTTATTTATAGCTTCAATCGAGTTAGGGAAAGGAGTGGCTTTCATTGCGTTATTATAGAAATTCTCAGACATCATTCTGCGTAAGTAACAAGGTAATAATCAAACACCAGATGAAAACAAAACCTGCCGTACGGTGGTAAATAATTATCTCTCATTGGACGTGAGTTAGGTTCCAACCTCTCTGTGATTTCTAACGGTAATGCAACCTAAAAATACAGATTAAACTTGACAACAACTTGATAATAAACCTCTGCGGCCCTTTCTTTCTCATAGAGTAGCTGGGCTTCCCTTTTTTCTTGTTCGCTTAACCCTTCTTCTTTTTCCAGGATCAGAGATTCGTGTAGAAATGGTTCCTAAACGGCATTCATGAACTGAAAAGAAACATTTCACTTACCTGAGATAACATACGACTGTTTCTCTTCACAACTGTCGCTAGAACTTTATCTTCTATGTTCCAGCAAGAAGTATCCCATTCATTTGTAATCACGTCCTTCGCTTCCTAACAAGCCAAATAGTATTACTAGTTTCGGAAGCAGTTACTTACGTCATACATAAGAAGTGTTTCTAATTCTTTCTGCGTAACATTGGCTTCAACCTTAGCATCATCCACAACGCGCTCTGATAAAATTGTATTTTTATAAGAACTCTACGAGCAGCTCACGTTGCAGTCCATGTTTACTAACTTGACGATTGAAAATTGCTCGTTCCATGGAGTTATCCATGACCAATCGGTAAATATATGTAGCTCTTTGTTGCCCATATCTGTTATAGTACTGTTTGGAAATAACCATATATAAACAAAACCTATAAACTCGGCAAACTGCTTGAGCATCATGACACGGATTCCAACAAGCGTCTAATATTATACACCTATTCGCGGAAACCTGAATTATAATGATATCCGAAGTTAAAGAAAGAAGGCACATACCAAATTAATACCTAGAGAACCAGCGCGAGTGGATATCAAAAATAAACGAACAGTCGGATCACCATTGAATTTATTAACCAATCGCTCTCGTTCTGTTGCGTTCGTAGATCCATCCAAACCTAAAAGTATAGCGATTCTATAGTGAACCATGAAAAAAATTTACGGAAGTAGTTTTTGTTTTTAACCCAGAATTCTTCCATACGAGCATCAGGATTAACTACAAATCTATTGAACAAGTACTGTTCTATCAAGTCGAGAGCAGTTAAATTTTGACTGAAACGGAGTTGTTCACAGAATATAGAGGAGTATTCAATACCTGAAGAGAAGAATTTTTTCACCAAGCCGTGTTGTCTCATCAATGATATCTAGTGCAATCTTCATTTTGTACCCATGCTCTATGTTTCCTACTCTATGATGTTGCATGATGACTTCGGCCTGAATACTCATATTGCTTCAAAGCTTATTAAAATAGTACTAACCCAGTCATACTTCAAACCCTGGTCATCCATATCTATTTCGTCCATTAATAAAGCTGCTAAATTCTTCTTTGGCTTTCTGCGTGATCTGTCAACTGATTCACTTTCTGTGATATCTCTGAAACAGCACAAAACTCATAATTCACAGAAGATCTTCAACTTACAAATCGTTAGAATATGAGATTCCTTCCCACAATGACTGTTGAGTGACAGGCTTCGAATTATCGAAAACGGATGAGTTCAGCGCATCCATCAAATTTGGTTCGTTCTGTAACGCAGAAAAACGTTTTTTCATTTCATTTGCAAATTCATACTTGTTGCTTTTTCTCATTATTTTTCTGCTTCTCCGCATTTTTTCTTTTCAACGAAACGGCCATAACATCAGGATGGTTCCATATCTATTTTCAAGTTTTTTAGATTTTTTTATAAACTCAAGCGCTACCTTGGAGCACGCTGAAAATGCTTTGAGGGGATTAAACACACTACTTCCTTTCTGTACTTCAGATTGCGCATAGAGTAGGAACGTTCTGGACGGTTTTTAGAGTGAACGGATAGTTTGAAAACATTATACCTGTACAGAGCATGTTGTAGCGGGCTCTTCCTCAATAACAAAACATATTCCTTGCTTGTTGGTAGAATTGTTTTGAGTAGATGGTGAGTTCTCCTGAGAACAAAACTTTTAGAGAATGAACGGAGATAACCCCATACCTCTGCACAAAACCTTTTAACATTTCGACTAATACATGAGTTCGTTGCAGAGCCACTTTCACATCACCTTTAATGAATGCAAAGAAATGACAAATGTATGAGCAGAAGTACCTGGAGTAGAATCGACACATTGTCCATTTTTGATCGGTCTTTCAAACATTAAAGAGAATGACTTTCTCTCGCCTAGATACTTCGGACGAACAAAGTCCACCATGCAATAATATTCCATAAGGTTGTTCTGTAGAGGATATCCAGTAAGTACAACCCTCCGTCTGTTAAAATGAAATGTTAGCGAAGAGTGTGTATATGTTGAAACATACGTGGTTTTAATGGAATTCAAAGCAGTAGCTATATCCGTGTTCAAATTCTTAATTTTATGTCCTTCATCACAAACTACCAAATCTGGTCCGGGATCAAGTAATACTCTACGCACAACTAAAACATATGTTCAACATTGACTCAATCGAGGTTCCTTACGTTGATTTGCTTCGAATCGTATTCTTCCATCATTAGTATACCCTTTATTATGGTCATCATCGTGTTCGTCTCTATGCACCTATCGAATGACCAAATTTATTTCCGCAAAGAACTGCTCCTCAAACCCTTCTTCCATTGAAAAAATTGATCTTCATTCTCGAAGGTTTTTTAGGCTGAGTGGCTTTAATCAAAAGCCGAAAAAGATCATAACCTATAATCAACACTCCTCCTTGATTCCCCCATTGCTCTGCAAACGGTGAACGGAATGATTATAGTTCGAGACACCTTACCTAACAAGTTAACTCTAGCATCAAATGTTTTGACCGCATCCCCGAGAACGAAAACATCAAATTTGCGGTTATTTGAACCGAGCGGATCATTTCTGAACACTGAATTAACAAAAAAAATGGTGATAAAAAAGAACTTTGGTAGCCATTTTTCAAACTCATTGGCCCAGTTGTGCAACGTATTCACGGGAACTATAACAAGTGACTTATGAGCATTGGTGGCTCGAAAGAAAATTTCAATAAACGTTATAACCTGTCAAAAGTATAATGAGAGATTTTCTAATCAAAATCATTCACCTGTAACGTTTTTCCTAAACCCATACTATGAGCTAAAATACACCCAAAACCCGGACTGTTTCTGTACTCTTCCAAAGATTCTATTATATTATCATACCTGTAAAGCTCATTTTAACAAAATTATAAACGTGGATTCTCACATAAAACGAATTCCTCCCAATTGATGAGGTTGTAAGACATGAGTTAAATGTGGTGCTACGCTAATATCCGGATCTTGAGGCGGATGACCTGATGAACAGATTTATAGTACGATGGAAAAAAATAGTTACCCCGATTAACAATTAGCTTTCCCGATTTGAAATCGAACTGTTCTATGTCACCCGCATGTTGTCTTTTCTTCAAACGCTGTTGTTCAATACGGTGTTGAATATCCATGCTCTCCCGAACAGCCTGAGAAAAAAACCTACTGAAAAACCAAAACTTTAAACAGTTTCCTACCCGTTCTTTGTCCGAAATGAACCATCTTTGTCGTTTAGCTTAAAGCATTTTTTTTATCATGGAGAATAGCTTTCACAAACCTATAGGTCTAGGATCTATAACCCGATGATAACAACCCAGTTCTTGTATTTCATCTTCATCATCACTCGAAAGATTTATAATCTAAATGAAACCCATCTCTCAATTTAACAATAATGCTCAATAAGTACCTCTGGATTTTTTGAGGTAGACGGCAAGTTATTTTGACCATTATATTTTTCTCCAAATCCCGTAATCTGTAACTGATAGTTACACAAAGAATTTCTTAATTTATCAACCTCGTCAATATCATCAGCATCTAGTACAGGTAAAGGATTATATGTGTACGATTGTAGTGCTGAGAACTGCTCCAAATGATCGTTTTCCTGAATATAGAGAACTTGAAAATGCGAAAAGAATAATAAACTACATTGTCTTTCACCCGTAATCGTTCAAGACGTTCTTTTTCTTTTTGCTGAGCAGATATTGTGGAAGAATTGAGCAAGCTCGGGCTATTGAAATCAGTTCTAAATAGTAGTAGTAGCCTGAGAAAAATAGAAAAACCACTTACATAACCTGCTTACGTTTCCTAGCATTTTTTACAGTTGGCACATTAACAGATATCAGGTCTTTTGACTTTTCTTCTTTAGGAAAAATGTCGAGTTTTTCATTATTGTTAGAAAATTCCTCTGTATTGCACTTTGTGCGTGAAGTTGAAGCTGAAGAAAAAAACTTAATTTACAGAAACGAAACTATAATGACTCACCCTCAGTTTCATCCTGTTTGGGACCCCTATCATTGGAATTATGAAACTCCGACGTCGAAGAAGTTCCTTTATTCAAATTTATGGATAGTTTGAGGGAACTTTCCGACATTATATAAACACATAAGACACTATTCTGAAATAATTGGATTATGAAATTGAGAAGTGATAAACTGTGAGTCCAAAAAACAAATATTTCAAAACCATTTAAGAAGAAAACTCATACTACTAGTACACGGAGAAGTCTGGACATTTCACGTGCAGAAAGCTATACGCATTTGCGTACACTCGTTCAAACACAGTAAGCAAAAGCTTGGTGATGATAGTAAATGAAGCATTATTAAGTAACTAGCATATTAATTTGATTGTGATAGGTAAAAAAAATTGTCTCAATACTACAAACTATAAACTCACATATTTTTTTATCTAATAGCAATTTGATTGGTTGCTATCTTTTCTTCGACGAGCAAGGTTGCGAAAAACGAATAATTCTAGAAAAGTTTAAAATTAGAAAGAATATTATGTTTCATAAGTGGGTACAGCCGTTCTTTCAGTGAGTGAGTAATGAATGGCGTCTATTGTTAACGTCATTTACGTGAAAATCAATGCGCGCCCATTATGCTAATTGACGGTTATTTACAGTTCGTGTGCCCGAGCAGGAGTGAACATGGTAGAGTGTGTAACACTACTGATTGAAAACAACATTAATTACAATAATTACCTGATGTAATGGTGGTCGAATGGCATTTTCAATCCCTTCAACCTGCCAATGCTGTACTGAATTGTGCCGAAAGCAGTGTTTGATAGAAAGAAGATTTGAGCTAATAAAGGAAATTCTGTTTAGTCGCCATCTGCAGTTGGTGGTAGAGAAAGAAGGGATAAAGAGGTTGAATAAAGAAGAGAAATGAACGAGTTATAAGAAATTGGAAGAGGAACACGGAGAGAATCAGAGGCAAAAGTCTTGGAACAATATATGTTAGAAGAGTAAGAACCTGCCATCTTCACTGCAAGGACTACATTCAACTTTCATTATCATTCATAAAATTTAGGTCGAATCGATTGAATCGAAGCTTGACGTGAGGGATGAGATGAACGTACTCCAAAGCAGGAGTTGCATCTTCATACAAGAACCAGAGCTCAGTAATTTCATAAAGCTTTTTTTTACTATCCTCTTCTTTTTTTTTGCTCACTCAACCAGTTCATTTGTTTCCTTCCAAAAAAAATCTGCTACACATTCTTTTTTTTTTCTTTTTTTTTTCTTCTTTCCATATTTATACTTGTTGATCCAGAGAATGTCCGTTTATGGCTGTAGGCGGAGCTGAGTTGTGAAACTCAAAAGCAAGTGAATGGTACACATGAAAGCTGCTGATTGAATTCTAGCGTTAAAGGCTTTCTTCATAAAAATCCTTTTTATGAATATTTCTTCTATTGCAATATCTCATTTAGTTTTTAATTATTTCTTTTATTTGTTTGATTACTGTTTAGGTTCGATTGGAACGAAAAAAATATTTATTTGCTTATGTATCTATCAAGGATTAGTAGATTTCTAAATGATATATAGTATTCAGGTTAGTTCTATCCAATTCCATCAATTTTCCATGAACTTCAATATTCTCATTCCAAAGTTCAATGTATTCCAGACGCTCTTAATAGAAGCTTTAGTATTGTCAAATTCCATTTCACCTACGCAACCAATTGATTATAAAGGTGAGTAGCTGAAGCTTTTTACTTTTTTTTTTAAAATTAGACCGAAAAAGAAAAGTTTTTTTTCTCTCTTTTTCCTCATTGCCTCAGGCAGTTTCCATACTTTAGTGACGACCAACACCTCGTAAGTTTTCAAAATATCGACATGTGTCTATTCAAGTAGAAAACGAAATAGTGAAAATCGTAAAGAAAACGTTGTCTGCTAATCAACAAAATACTTTTTTCTATTCTTCTAAAATTTAATTTGTAATTTGGCTTTTGTTCATTGCAGATGCTGAACGATCATTGTGTGATTCTGGTGAAGTGCGCGAAGCAAAGCCTCAGGATCTTGCTTACATCCTTATGAATAATTATAGCCGGTAAACGTGAAAAATAAGAAGGAATAATGAGAAAAGAGTGAAAGTGAGAGAGAGAGAAAGAGAGTCAAAAGAAAGAAAATTTCGTTTTTCCGTTTCCGTCTCTAAAATGCCGGAAATAGTAGAAGATGCTTTACCTTAAGCTTTATAAATTGATTAATTGGCTAAGCATAAGACTTAGTCAGTAAGTGGATTTTAACTAATTCAACTGGACAATTCATATAATTATTTTAATTTAATTACTTTTCATTGGAAATCTACTTACTTCTTATAGAAATGCTTTACCTGAGCCTTCTCCTGTACGTGTTTTGGTGGAAATAACAATACAGGATATATCTGATATATCAGCTATTACGGGAACTTTTGTAATTGACTTTTGGATTAGTGCCATATGGCTAGATCAACGGTTCATCTTTAATATTTTCAATTTAATTATTTAATTATATGATATATAGATTATCATTTGAACAATATGATCCTTGTCGAAAGAATCTGTCATTGGATCACGATATGGAACCTCGTCTATGGTCACCAAACGTTTGTATTGTAAACTCGAAGAATACAAAAGTTCATGATTCGCCTAAACCAAATATTTTGTTAATGATTTTCCCAAATGGTACCATATGGCTGAACTATCGAATACGATCTGAAGGTTTTTCCTATTTTCTCAAATATTTTATGATGATGTCATACTTAAGCTCCTTGTCAGATGGATCTGAGAAGCTTTCCTTTGGACTCCATACGTTGCACATTGTTTTTCGAGAGTTATTCTTATAATGCCGCGGAGGTATGTCTAACTTATGATTTTGGGCTTTCAAGAACAAGATTTAAGGTAAGCTTAGAATGGTTGGAATGGTCACCTGTTAGTACTGTGAAAAGCGATTACAACTTACCAGATTTTAAAATGACAAATATCACTTATGGTCATGTTACCGAGGTATTTCATTCATATCAGCTAATGCTATAAACGTTGCTCAAAACAGATTTACACTGCTGGAATTTGGCATAGACTCTCAGTTTCCATTCATTTTGAGCGACTATATGGATTTTACATACTACAGGTTCTAGCTATATGTAAAGCGTTTAAACCTATGATGATTGTAGATGTATCTACCAACGTATATATCAGTTTTCATAAGTTGGATTGCATTTTGGATGGATACAAGAGCCTTACCAGCCAGAATCACTCTATCCGTATCTTCGCTGATGGCCTTAACATTTCAGTTCGGAAATATAGTGAAATCACTTCCCAAGGTTTTGTTTCCTCATTCTATAAATTTGTAAACAGTTGGTATGCTTAAGGCTTCTTATGTTAAAGCTATTGATATCTGGATGTTCAGTTGCGTGGGGTAATCCGATTTAATATTTTGTTGATTTTCTTCCTCATTCATCTTTATTTAGATTCATATTTTTCTCTCTCATTGAATTAGCAATTGTTGCCTATAACGATAAAATGGAAGATCAAAAAGTGCGAACAACGCGTTTATCAATAGGACAGATGAATGGACAATACACACGAAGGTAATTGAAATTCACGTGAATATCACATGTATAAGATCATATTAACATCTTCCATTCACATCAACTTCCGTTCACGTGAATATTCTTTTTTCATCATTTTTTACCGAACAGGACGGTACATCTCTCTCTCTCTCTCTCATTATCTCTCTCTCTCTCCTAATATCCCAATATTCAACAACACAAGAGACTATTTTTTAATTTTTTTTATAAAAGGTTCTTGGGATATCAATATTCTATTGTTCCCAATCAGAAGCGTATGCGGTATGTTTAAAAAAATATTTTTTTTTATTCTAAGTTTCCAGTTCCCTATCTCTGTCTCTGTTTATCCACTATCTTCTCCTTCTGGATGAACTTTTCCAAGCTCACCCGTGCCTGAATTAACCCCTTGTTCGAAAATCTGTTTCTTCTAACTAATTTGCTTGTTTTTCTTCCCCCTCTCCCTTCTTTCTTTACAAAGATTTTCTGAATTTTTAATCAAATGAGATTAGAAGGAGAATCTTTTTTTTTATTTCATCTGCGGACATCAGAAAAGAATTCACAGAAGAGAGACAAGAATAAGAATAATTTTTTATTTCTTGTAGAAGTATAGCTGAAGTATGTGCAAGTCGTAATAAAGGAAGTGAACTTGGTGCAGCCATAGATCGGGTAGCCAGCATAGCATTTCCAGCGGTAAGCTATGAATGAAACAAAACTTCCTTCTAAAAGAAGCCCTCTATTTTAGGCGTTTGCTCTGTTCAATTTTGTATATTGGACATATTATCTCTTAAAGAGGAACACAATCCATGAACATACATGATTATGATTATGAGAAGAAATATCATTGAAATTATCAGAATATGATGTGCCTTATTCGTTTTTCTTCTCCTCATTGGTTATCTTCCAAACCCAATCTATCTATCTCATCCATTACCCCCCACTCATTCTCAACCATTCATTCATTCCATCTAATGATCAGATTAACAACATTTGAAACATAGTTCTTATCACTTATCTATCAAACTGCATCTTCATAGATTTGTCTCAAAACAAAGGATAAGCTATAAATAGAAATATATTGACTGTTATATCCATATGTTCTATATATGTATGTATGTTTTGTTTTTATAAAAAACTATTTTAAAGAAAGTGTAGCTTCATGAGAGAGACTAGAAAGTGACTAGAAACTGACTAGAAAACGACTAGAAACATCATCATCAATGACCTTCAATTACATTTCATTATAAAAGACACTTTCTAATGTTCATTTTTAAGGAAAATGTTCAAATTTTTATTGATATTTCAATTGTTTTGTCATGTTTCTTCACTCAAAATAGCCGTCTTCTCACCGAAGATGGCCTACAGTCATATGAGATTCATTGGACGGATTGCTGATACACTGATAGACGCCGGACATGATGTAGTAAGTCTTTCCGTTATACATCTTTGGCTCACTCACTCTTTCCCTTCTTCTTCCCCCTCTCTCTCTCTCTATTTCTCTCTTTTTTTTGTTATTAAAAATTCTTTTCTTGCAGTTACTTATTCAACCAATTGAGAATATTTTTGTCCGCGGATCAGGAAGTGAAAAAGCTCCTGTTTATCCAATAGAAATAAGCAAAGAGGTTCATGAGGAAGCTGAGAAGTTACATCTAGGAGAGTACATATCTAAGCTTGTTTGGGAACACAATCTTAGTCCATTCACATTAAAACATGTAACGAATAATATATTTTTCATCATTCCATCAAAAAAAAAAATTTTTTCTATTTTAGGGAGCAGAAGCATGGAATCCCTTGTTGAGATTATATGTAAATGGTATATGATAGATAACTAGCTTCATCATTTCTCTATATGTTTATTGTTTTCAGATCTCATGACTAACATTACAATGCTCGAAGATCTGAAATCTATGAAGTTCGACGTTGGCATAACAGAATTGTTTGATTTCGCTGCATTTCGTAAGATTATCATTTGTTATTCCATGATAAGTTCATCCAAATATGTCTTGTTTGCAGCAATCTTCTACAAAATTGGTTTGAAAACCATTATTGGTGCTCATTCAACGACATTGATGGAAGGAACAGCATACGCTATGGCTGTACCAACCATTCCCAGCTTCATACCACGTAACATCAGAAAGCATTATCAATTTTTTTGAAACAAAAAAGAATTTTCTTAAGCTGTTGTCGGATTAACTGGTGACAGCACGTCGTTTTGGAATCGTATGAAGAATGTCGTCATGACATATGAAAGTATGAAAGCATCATATCTGTTTGCAGAACCAGCTGTAACATATATGGCTGAAAACTTTCCTGAAGCTCCCTCCTGTTGGGTAATATTCAAAAATGAATTTTATAATGAATAAATTGATATAATTAAAGGATATAGTAGCTGATATTCCATTAGTGTTTGTGAATACTGTACCCACATTGGATTATCCACGTCCATCATTAGAACATATAGTTAGCATTGGAGGAATAACAATGGAAAAGAGCAAAAAATTAGATAAAGTAAATTAAATTTTCAAAATATTTTATGATTTTGAGACGTTGGAAGGAGTAGTAGAGGGCTAGCTAGAGAGAGAGAGAGAGAGAGGGAATGGAGAGAAAGCAAAAAAACAAATTTCATTATAGGAATGGGATGATATTATGAATTTACGTCAACACACAGCTCTGTTCTCTTTTGGAAGTATTTTTCCGCCATCAACCATGTCTTTGGAGATGAAGCTGAATATCATAAAAATATTTGGAAAGTAACGTTCCTCAAATATATCCATATATTATTATAATTATGAAGTTAAGGATGAAAAATACAACTTTCATCTGGAAATATGATGCTAATGAAGATATGGAGCTGTTTGAAAACACTTCGAACATTATTCGGACAAATTGGATGCCTCAAAATGACATTTTAGGTTTTCATTTTCGCTATTTCTCGTCCTACTTGATTGTTTTTGGTTGGAAAGAAACAAAACAATGAAGAAGAATGAGATAATATAATGAAATTAAAAGCAAAAATGGAGAATAAGAAACAGAACTAAATTAAGGTGATTCTCGTCTTTCGCTGTTTATCACTCATGGTGGAGCTGGAAGCTTGCAAGAAAGTGCTTATAATGGTATACCAATTATCATGATACCCTTGTTTGGAGATCAATATCGTAATGCTTTTGTAGCTGAAAGTCGTGGTTACGGTAAGTTTTTATGAATAATTCAAAAATCATTTGCTCATTTTCGTCCGGTTTCTTTTCGGTGCTATTGAAATTCCGTTCAGCTCTTATGAACGAGAGTAGAAGAGAGTTAACTATACAAAGACAGGCAGAGAGGAGAAAGAGAGAGAGAAATGCATACAAAGAGGAGATAGAGAGAGAGAGTTATTATATTTTATCAATTATAGCATTACGTCTATGGAAAGAAGATTTGTCTGATGAGCGAATTCTTACGTCGGCTTTGACGGAAATAATCGACAATCCAAAGTATTGTTTAAATATATCATTTTAATACTAAAATTATTTTTTTTTCTACAGATATAAATCAGCAGCTTTACGTGTACAACGTCAGCTTCATCAAGTGCCAATGAGCCCACAAGAGAAAGTTATTCGTTACATGAAATTATTTGAGAATCCATTAGATTTTCCTGATTTTCGTTCAAATGGACGACATATGACAATAATTTCATATTATAATATTGATATTATTGCATTTGTTTTGTTTAGCTTTATCATATCATTGTACATTCTCAAATTAGCTTTTATTCAAATTTTATCAAAATTCTCAATTAAATCAAAGATTGAATAAAAATATTTTTGAAAATTTAATTGTTCACGCCGTACTAGTAGAAGTAGAAGCAGCCTATGCATTCTATATGTCACGTATAAACATGGAACTCACATATCATTAGCATTTGCACGTGGAGATGTGCTGCTTGAATGCGTGTTGATGTTGATGTTTCTGCCTCATTTGCATATCAACAGACACAAACAGTGAACGGTTGCAATCGTTTTAATAAGCTTTGAAGTTAGTTTTTTGCCTATATAGAAGAAAAAATGCATAAATGAGGAGGCTTGTTGTATGATACTACTTGTTGCAGTCGAGTTTTCCGATTCTGATTTTCATTTCTTCTTATCTTCTCTCAATTCATTCGTTCATTCCAAAAATCATTAAAGAAATTGCATCTGTCTAGCTGATTCAAATTTTCCATTGATAATTTATAAACTAATTTTATGATTAGAACAGTGACGAGGTTCGAGCATTCAGTCAGTCGTTTTGGTGCTCGATCATTCATTCGTCTCTTTCAAATTTTAAAAACAAAAAGCTGGATTTAACTATTGTTCGAGCTAGTACATCAGCGCCAGCTATTGCCATAGCTATTCCTGTACTTGATGCTTCACGGCTTCAACAAAATGCATCGACTTCATCTTCAACATCACCATCACCACCACCACCACCACCACCACAACAATCAATATGCTCTAATGATGAGCAGCCATACAACTCAAGATATTATAAATTAAGGTTCGTTTTAACAATCATATTTGGCGTCTTTATATGTTTCTATGTTTTAAGTTTTAACTTTTTATGCTAATGAGGATCAAAACAGACTTATTTGGTTCTCAGAGCATTTCATTTCTTCTTGCTCTTAGATTCTCTCTTCTACTATGTCTTCTTCCCTTTATTCACACCCTCTCTCTCTCTCTCTTTCTCTCTCAAACGATTTTAATGAAAGTTGTTGACATTCAATACCTAAAGTCTTACTTAAAAGCTTCGAATCATCAAAAACTAGAAGATGTGAGAACAAAGTTGTACGTGAGAGAATCCAAACAGACGGATTTTTGATGAAGAAATAGAAGTATAATTCAAGAGGTATCGAGACTCTAAGCGACGAGACGACTTAAATCAGATTAACTCATTGGATTGCATTCTGCTGTTGAAAATTTTCCCTTCGAGCCAGAGCAAAGCAGCACTTTGGCGTTAAGAGAGAGAGACACGAAGATGGTGTGTATGTGGATGTGTGGATGTGGATGTGTATGTGTGTGTGTGTACGTGGACGAGAAGATGTATGAAAGATAAAAAGAGAGAGAGAAAGCGAATAAAAAAAAGATTTTTTTGTTGCACAAAAAAGGTTGAAGAACGACAAGAGGAAGAGCTCCTCCTAACAAGAGATAGAGGAGAGAAAGATAACTGTTCGCGTTAGCTATAACTTGGAAGAGAATAAAGATGAAAAGCAATAGAGAGTGGCGAAGAAGGAGAGAGAGATAGAGAGAGACTGAGGGAGGAGAAAGGACTTGAATTCATTTAAATTTAAGCGAAAGATTGTCTCAAAAAACACATAGTTCCAAAAGCAGTTTTCTGTTTATAATGATAGAAGTTGTGCGTGGTGAGTGAGAGAAGTGGAAAAAGAGATAAAAAAAATTTTTTTCCTCTTTCTCCGTTCAAATAATTTGATTTTCGGACAAAAAATTGAAATTTATAACTGACAATTTTATTTTTACTAATAATAAAATGAGAAATATTCAAGTAAATCACTTATTTCGTTGACAATTCATATTTGGATGAAAGTGACTTCGTCCTGCTGCTGCTGCTGCGGCTTCTAGTGCTGTTGCTGTCGCTGCTCCTGCGGCTCACAGCTCAGTTTCAAGGCAGCAAGATGGAGATGAACGAACCAAGTTTCCTTTTATTTTTTTTCTCATTTTTGCTTCTTTTTTTCGGGTATTTTTTCATTTTTATTTTCTTCTCCTTTTTTTTGAAAAGAAAATGAGTTGTCGATCGGTTGGTTTCTTTGTTTTTCCTCTGCTTTTCCTAAAATCTTATTGAATGACAAGATATAAATGTAATTTTCTGACTAAAAAAATATGTTTTTTTTCCAAATAAGAGAAAGATTTTGCTTACAAAATATCAGTTGGGTCTTAACGTTTTCATGAATATTTATTCATTTAAGGATGATTCAAACAAGTTGTTATCTTCTCCCCCCCCAACGCTCCCTCAGAGACTTTCAGAGGTTTTTTTCCGGCCAAAAATGGAAAATACATTTTGCTTCCTTAGAACTTTGTATCTTTCTCTCTCTCTCGTAACCTCTGAACGAGATGGAACATCTCGCTTAGCCTCTCACTACTCTCTCTCTCTCTCTCTCTCTCTCTGTCACTCTCTCTATATGTTTCTATTACTTTGTCTTATTCTTCAATTGCTTCTGCTCTCACTCCTATTCTCTCTATTTCATTGAAGCTCGTTTGAGCTCGATCAGACTCATGAGATATTAGAAGTTATTCTGACAACTATTCTTATGGCCTAATGTTGATTCCTCTTAGCCAACGTTCTTCTCATTTTTACAAGGCCTTTTCACAAGGATGATGATCGAAACGAACGAAAATGGCTTTACCACGAAAAGCTTGTCAGAATGAAGAAGTCACTACGAGAGCATCAGAAAGACAGACAACTAAATAGAGAACGAATGCGACAGAGAGAAAAAGCCTTCAACTCACCACATCTTTATGCTCGTGCCAACTTCCGAATCCGATTTCCTTTTATGGCAGTCAGACTTTGTCTGTTTCTTCGCATTTTCCAGCTCTTCATTGCCGGTCGTTTCCTTTTTAAGTAACTTTTCGTTATTCTCCATGAAAATGCTTTGTTAAGGATGCGGATAAAAAAAAATTTCTTTTTTATATGTCTTCGTAAGTCTATATATGTATGTACAAGTAAGTCGAAGGCTAGCTAGATATCTTTCTCTCTGTGCTCTCAACCTTTCATTTCCATGAAAAACACATCTCATTTTGACTTTTTAAAATATTTTTTTGTGCTCTTTCGTTTAATTGCTGAAAGCATTAAGTGTCATCCATCTCATACTACTTGCCTCCATTGAAAAACATTTCAATTAATTAACATAATTATTGATTGATGATGATGTGATGCTTGTGTGCATGAAGATGTGTGGCTGTGGATGTGTGTGATGCATTTCAATCGTAATCATGTGTCACTCAATGAACGGTTGTTCATTGATTAACTATAATATTATAATTAGATTGACATACGTCTAGACTGTTCCTCACATACTTTATTTTCTCATTGCATGTTCATGAAGCGAAAAACAAATGTTTGTTTACAAACGGATCAAATCAAATGAAAACATCTGCTTTTCGATTTTCAGATGATTTTTTCAAACCAAAGACGAAGAAGCAGCCATAAGAAAGAAAAACGACAAAAAAAAAAGAAAAAAAAAAGAAAAGTTTTCATTTCTCACAGCAAATTCAAATCTTTAAGAGATTGACATGCTTTTCCTTCAGCTTCATCTTGTATTCTATCAGCTCTTACTTACTTCGAGCTTCTTCGTTTGTCTCTCAGCCTTCCTCTTGTCTCTCTTCTTCTTTTTTTCATTTTTTCTTGCTTGTTTGCAACTCCAACTTGATTTGTTCTTCTTTTAAAATAATTTTTGTTCCAAAAGAAACAAAGATGACAGATGCACTTGGAGATGAAACACATGTTCTTTATATATATATAATATCAATATTTAAACTGAAAAAACATCATTTTAACTTCATAATTACATCATTCAATATTCTTTTCAAAACATTTTTTTCGTTTTTTTCTTGCTTCTTCACCCTCTATCTCTTTCTCCCCCAACCTTCTACTCCTCCTCCTTCTCCTTCTTCTCTACTACGACCACAGCTAAATTTAGTGGCCGGCTTCAATACATCCGAAGCCACACGAACGCAACTACCATTATGAACTTTATTTTGAAATTCGAATAATGATTTCTGATCAACCAACCAACACACACACATACACACACACACACACACACACATGCACACATAGACACATACCTACACAGCTTGTTCTTACCCACATTAATGGAATTATTTACATTTCTTGAGGTTCCATATTAGCTCCCTCACCTTCTTCCTGTCTCTCTCTTTACCTTTCTCTCTATCTTTTTTAAGTCTGTCCAGCCGTTTTCATCAAATTTATTTTCTTCCTCTCTTCTCGAAGGAAAATAGTTTTCATTTTCATTTTTTTCATCTTCGTGCTTGAATGCCTAATTTCTTGATTCAGAAAAAAAATTTTATTCAAGTTTTAAAAGGTTAAAATACCTTGTGAGATCTTTGAGATTTCGAATACCTTTCTTGGTTTATGAAAATTTCTTTGTTTGTCTGGCTTTTCAAGCTTTTTCAGGGTTGGCAGCTCATTTTTCTATGCGTTCTTCTCGTCCTCTCACCTAGCCTCTCGCTCTCTCTTTCTCTCTCTCTTATTTCTCTCTCTCTTTTTATCCCTCTCATTTACTCTCCCTTCATATATTTTCCCTTTATATCTATTTTTTGAAAGCGATTTTACCTCTTCAGCTGCTCTTATTCGTTTGCTTCCTCCTTTCCCCAAACTGATCATTGTTTCCCCCACCCTCACCTATCATTTTCTTCAACACAACCATCTTTAGTAGTGGCGAACTCACTAGCTCATCTTTTCATCTCTCTCAAGCAAAATTTTTTTTCATCCTCGTTTCAAAAATTAATTGAATTTATTCAAATGACGTACCTCATTAGCATATTTTATGAAGGTGGCATTAAACCGCCGTTTTCGGCAAATTCGTTGATACCGGTTGCTTTCGTCTCTTTTTACGGAGGCCGACATTCTCATGCATCTTTTCTTTTCTTTATGGTCAAGAAGAGTTAATTGAAAAGTGATTTTTTCGTTCAGCTTTTGCTCTTCAACTCCCACATATGACGCTTGTTCGATTTCTTCTTATTCGCTATCCTCATAGCCTATTGAACTTCACTTATAATCATTTGTTTATAAGCATAACACATTCAGATTCAGTATGCCAGCTACAGTTCCGATAGAGATTGAGCATCCGATTGTTCCAACAATGACTTCATCGTTGAAGGAGAAAAGATTTAGTGTTCCCAGACAATTGCCGGAAAGGAAAGTAACAATCCGTCCTTATGAGAGTTTTCGGTAAGTCATATCCCCCAGCAAGGTAGAATGATACATAGGAGAAGGAAGAGACGGATGAACGAAGAGAGAGAGGATTGAAATATCTTATCCCTATTCCTTTCTTCTACTTCATATTCTTGAACACAAAAAATTGTTTGCCTTTCAGGGAGAAGCAAGAATCAAAAATCTTGGTAACATTTGGCTATGCAGCCTTAAGTACGGAAGGTAATCTAGCTGATCCTCAGTCAACAGAAGGTAATATAATGCCCCATATATGGAAAAAGCCTGGAAATAGGATGGAAAAAAAATTTTTCTTCATTCTTCTATTTACAGAAGAGATATCTCGTAAAGTCTCATCTCCATCAATATTCTCCATATATGGCGATTCACCTGGTCCATCCACGGTAAACATCCTAAATGAAAAAGAAAATATACTAAATTAGCATAAATTAGGTATGTGAGCAGCCGATTGGAGCACAAGCCGATATCTTTGTGTCATCATTAGGCGAGAAGACATTACATCAAATCAAACGCTTCATTGAAAATAGTCCGCCAGCTGAAAATCAATATTTTATGTGGATAAAAGATACAAAAACAAATAAGGTAATAATTAACTATATCATATAGTTATATATATAATATAATATTTAAGATAACTGTTATATCGATAAAAACATTAGAAAATCATATGAAAAGTGATAAACGTGTGAGACGTGTCAAATGGCGTCATCTATCATCTGAACGTATATCCATCTATAGATATAGTATACCAGCAATAACATATGAGAAAAGCAAAGCATGCTCTGATTGTATTTATCGTCATAAAAAATTATGTCTTTTAGCAATATGGCTTTCATTTGTATTATTTCTTTGTGTAATTGTTGTATTAGGTTCACTTCAACCCGAAGAACGTTCACATCCATTTCTTCATTATCGTGCTAACTATTCATCATTATCAACTACAGCCCAAACATATACTTAGAAGCCTTCAATGATTACTATATGAGAAAATAATTTTATTATTTAAAACAATTAAGACGTGTCCTTTGCATTATTATTATTATTATTATTTCACTTATTAATTATTATAAATGTTTTTATTTTGAACATTTGTTGAGCTTCGTCTTCTTCTTCTTGATCTTCTACTACTTCATTACATCTCATTGTAACGTTGTTCGTTATTCATGCACAACCGATACATAGCGTTCATGCTTACTTAAATGACGCTTCATTGAACTTCAGAACATGAGTTATACGTGAACGCTTTTCACGTGAAGTATGCTGATTAGTTGAAGATGACATGTGTTTTGCAAGAAAACTGGAGGCGCATGAATGAACTCAACAAGTACTATATCACCGAAGAGGAACTTCAAACTACATCAGATGATATTTATTTTTAAATTTTGAAATAAAAAAAAAACATTGATGACGTTGTGGAGTGAGTTAGAAACTAAGCAGAATCGACTGGAACTGTACGTGACAGATGATGGCATAAAGAGAGAGTGTGATAGAGAGATGGACAGTTAGAAAGATTCAAAAAGAGTAGCAGAGGAAGATGGGGGGAGAAAGAGAGAGAGAGAGAGGGGGAGACGAAAGATTAGAACTGTCGGAAAGAGGAAAAGAAGGAAAAAAACATTTTTATGAAAGATGTGTATCCGGAAAAAGAAAAAAAGAAAATCGTCAGCTTCGTCCGAAAAGCCGTTTTTTGAGTGATTCAGATCAGAAAAGCATACAAATGATTAGCTGATAACTAGTTGCTTAATCCATTTTCACATCCAGTCTCGTATGCTTGATGTTTAAGCATCAAATGAAGATGTACATGTAATAGCAATAGCATCACCCACACATACACACACACACACACACACACACACATACCAACATACATACTACACACATGGATTCCTAAAGTCCACTTACATCTGTATATTCCTATTTCAATGAAAAACTCTATTACTTTTATCATTCACATATGTATATGTATCTATATCTATGTATCAGGCCATTTAACCCAAGCCAACTGATAATGAAAATTGTAATGTTTGGATTATATTTCTGTACATTTAGCACCACCATCCGCCACCCCCGTATCTTCTTCAGTTTGCTTCTCCATCGTCCATATTCTTCTTCTTCTTCCTTCCTATCAACCTATTCTGCTGCTTCCTTCCTCTATTGCGAATAGTTACTCATCTTCCTTAATACATAATTTAATAAAATAATTCATTTTTACATTCCTATTTCATAAGCTGAGTAAATAAATGATTTTTATTTGAACACACATCAAATTACTTCATTTTGCGTCTTTCTCTCACTTAAATAGCTTTACAACTTCTTTTTTTTTCCTTTTTTCATCTCCTTTGTTACATTTTGTGTCACCGCTTTGTATTCTATAGGCTGGAGAATTTTGTTTTTTTTTTCCTGTCCATGTGTATGTGTGGTGTGTGTGTCCTCTTCTCTTCTCCGTCATGATGATCCTTCAAATTTATTTTGTGCACAAAAATCGGTTGGTCTTTTATTTTTTTTTTGTTAATTTCTTTCGCTCTCTCCATTTCTCATTTAATGAACGAGAATTAAGGCTTTATCTATGAGAGTGTGTGAATTGTCATCTATCTTTCTCTCGGTTAAGTTGTCCTCTTCTTTGAACCTTCTTTCTACGTGTACCTCTGCTCCCAATACTCTCTTCTCATTTCCTTAATACTACATATACCCTCCGACTTTCCGCTTTATCTTTACTTTCCTTCTTTCGTAACTGAGGATTGGACTATCAATTCTTGGTAAGCCATGTAAGTATTCGTAAAACCATCAAAACTTCTATTAGCTTTACAGCTTTTCACTCAATTTGTCACACTGAACGTCACCCACACACATCTTGATAAACTGCTGATTTCTGATATAAGAAAAATTTTTTTTTCTGTAATTCAAAAGTTTAGCGGTCTTCTGTAGGAACGAAGCGTGATATATGAACAATTTTTGTCGTCAGTACCTCTCATTCTTAGATATTCTCTTTCTTCTTCTCTCTCTCTGTCTTTTCGCTCTCTGATGACAACGACGACGGAACGACCGAGGGTGGGTGTGGGTATAGTGTGGGTGACAAAAGGGGCGTATAGTTTGGCAAATGTCCAAAGTATCGTTTATTCTAGTTATTGTTCTGATATATTAGAAGGTTCTATAATTCGCTCTATCTTCCATATAAAGTTTTTGAATGAAGATTTCATTCTCATATTTACTTATTGTCAAATAGTTTTCAAAATTAATGTATTTTTTTTGCGTCTTCTCTATCAGAATGTTGTTCCATCATGTTTTGTCATATTTCATATCAATTTGTCTTTCTGGACTAGAGTGGCTAGTTAATTATAGTGAGAACAATCACAGAGAAATAGAGAGAAAAAAAGAGAATTGAGAGAAGGGGTTGGTTTGACGCATCTATAAGACGACGATGAAGTCTTTGGAATCTGAACTTCAAATTCCATTGATTCCATCACCTTCTCTTGTTTCTTTTCAATCAAAATTTTACTTAACCAATATTTTTCCAGAATTTTCGATTAACTGATCAACGTTGGTCGCAAAACTCTCACGCACACACTGCTCTTCGATTTTGTTGATCCCATAACCTGCACCCTCCCTCTCTCTCTCCTCCCCTCTTTTCCTCTTTCTCTCTCTTTATTATTCTTTTTGACTCTTTTCCGATTACTTCATTCATTTGCTCATATTATGATTTCCTTCAAATACCCATATAATGCTTAATGTTTTTAATATTATTTCAGCTAATATGGCTTTAGCCGTTGCTGCTGTCTGTTATTCAGGAACAAGCCTGGAAACAGAAGTACCCGGCCCTGCCAACATTCCACAGGTTAGTCGCAATTTCATCTCTCATTTGAACTCATCATTAATGACATCATCGATTTGAACAAAAATACATAAAAAATTGTTACTTTTCTCTATCCATATGTAGTATTTCAACTAGTTTATTCTAGTTCCGAACATTATCATCACCAAAATGAGATGTTCGTCGTGTTAATTTGTGTCCCAACTATGTTCATTATACCTTCTTCTCTCGAATTTGTACTCTTTTTCTTCAATTTTCTTTATTCCATTTTCGGTACAACGTCATTCATGTTTTTCATTCTTATATTTAAGATCACAAACTATGAAATTAAAACGTTTTCTCTTAGCCAAACAAAGATATGTTTTGAGTCAATTTTAGCAGAAGAACTGTATGATTTTCGTATTTCTTACAAAACTCACAGATTATTGAACCTTTCGTATTCTTTCTCTCTATTTCTCTAATACTCTATGTCTCCCTTAAGCTCTCTCTCTCTCTCTCTCTTTCTTAGATGATTATCGATTATATTCTTCTCCAATTTGTCTTTTCTTTTCATAATTGTTCTCTTTCCATGACAAAACCGTTTCTAACAAGATCTTCGCTCTATCGCTCTCTCTCTCTCTTTTTGAGACTACATAGAGGAAGAGAGAGAGAGAAAGAATCTCATCAACTGTCTCCTTTTTTTGTGTGTCGTTCCTTCTTGCATCGATATCGATAAAGCTCAACTGATGTGATTGATTCTAGGGAGAATTGTCCATAAAAGGTCAATGAAAACTATTTTGTTTGCAGAATATCGTTCGAGTACTTCATTCAGGCAAACATCCCGTTATCAGAACAAAATATATTTCCTCTCTTCTTCACTTTTTGATATTTTCACAATCTTTGGCCTTACAAAGTCCACAAAGTCCAGAATTCCTCACTATTGCGTTCTTTCCATCTCCCGCTCCTTCTTTTTTTTTTTTTGCTCTCTGTCTCAACTTGATTTCAAATCTTTTTTTTTTTTTTACTTTTGTTGATGTTAAACTGTGCCATTTAAGGAATTTCGTACTGTAGTGATTGTTCAAAAAACAACCAGATGGGATTGGGAGCAAGAAAAAAATCCAAACTTCTGCTTAACGCAATTGTCAGAATATCTGAGACGAAGAGGCGAGGATGTCGACAAAATGCTTCGAACTGATCGTCAACAGAAAAAGGCTGTTGATGAGATTGCGAACCGTTTTAAGTAAGTTGCTTCACTGAACAGACCATTTGAACTATTTGTATTTTCGAAAGAAAAAAAAAGGTCGAAAATATTTGAAAGAGAACCTTTCTTTTTGTTCCATTCCTATGCGATTGTGTCCAATTGATTGTTTCACAAAGACTTTTTGGGGAAAAGAGCTGTTTCCCCATGCCAACCAGATGTTTGTACTGCTGAAGTTGCAGTTCTTTGTCATACTTTAAACTTTTCTTTCTGGGTCTAAGCTTTACCGCAAAGTGAGAATGCGAGAGTTATAAATGATCAAGACTGAATTGATTACGAAGATCATCACACTGTATACTTTAGGCAAAATGGAGTAGAAGCGAAGATTGTCTCTCGTCATGAACTATCCTCCTGGCTATCGTGGGCTGACCTCGTCATTTCGGCTGGAGGTGATGGAACTTTCCTTTCAGCAGCTGCTGCCATAAAAAATGAGCAAATACCCATTATTGGAATTAACACAGATCCGCGTGGGTAAGTACAAAATGAAGTGTTCTGATATTCATGAAAGTAATTCAGATCTGAGGGACACTTTTGTGTTGATGGCAAGCATCCACCACATGATTTAATAGAACGACTGATGAATGGAAAATTCCAGTTAATTATACTATCTAGTTATAGTATATGATAAACGTATTGTAGATGGACACATCGTAGTCGCATCCGTGTTACATTACTAAACAGAAAGCATGAAGGAGACAATAAATGCATTTTGGCTCTGAATGAAGTATTTGTGGCAGAGGATGAAGCTGCTAGAGTAAGAAGCTTATTAGTCTTTCTATCAAAGTATGTCTTTATAGGTTTCATCTTATGATTTGGCTATTGATGACCAGCCTTTGATGAGACAGAAAAGCAGTGGATTGATTGTATCAACCGGCTCCGGAAGCACAAGTTGGTATATGGCAACCAATAGAGTTGAAGATCAGACTGTTTCCACCATTCTGGAAACGATGCAATCCATGGGAATAAACATTCCTGGAGTTCGTCAAAAACTCTCACAAGAGATCTCAAAGCGAATAAACAGTAAAATTCCTTTCGATCCTCAAACACCAAGTAAGTCGTTAGCTACGTCACTCTCCTTCACCACAATTGTTTTCAGATTTCGCATACTGTGTTCGAGATCCAATTTTCAATGAAACATTCAAGAAAACAGCTGTTCGAGGTTTTGCCAGGAAGATCTTTTTGAAATCCCGATGTCACAAAGGCTTCCTCGTGCTCGATGGATCCGAGAAAATTCCATTTGACTCTGGTGCAGAAGTGTTACTAGAGATCTTCCCAACCGATTCAATTCGAACAATCACAAGCATGAATTCCTTATAAGACTACCTATATATATAACATATATATATAGACGATCGCAAATAATGTACATAATTAATATGAAATTATTGTTTTCCATTTTTCATTTTCGTATTTGATGAAAGTTAGTTGACGATTTATAACTTCCTTCAAACATTTTTCACCATTTGTCCAATTTGTTCTTTTTTTTTCTGGAAAATGTAAAGAAGGCAAAGTGTGCTCTGATACGAATTTGGTAATTAGATGTATCATTCATAATGCAATCATATTCCCATTCATTTCGACCATATTTGGCAATTTCACTGTTAATCTCTTTTTCTATCAATTATACTATGTGAAAAGCGAAAGAACAAAAAAAAAAAAAGAAGTTAGATGTTATATCGGGTTACTGAGAGAAGTATTTTCTCAGATTTTCATAGTTTATTTCTATATGATAAGCATGATAATAAAAATTTTTGTTTCTATTTTTATTTCTAACATAATTAGCATAATATTCTCACGTGCATCACATAATACGTGATTTACTGACGTCAACGTTCATTATAATTGTGTTGGTGCATTGAGCGGTTGTTTTTTTTCTTCATGTAAACTCTCATTGCAGTAAACAGTTGTGCGGAATGTTTAAATGTTGCTTATTTGGAGTTACAAAGCCATAAATGGCAATGGATGATGTGAAAGAATCACAGGATGGGGCGATCAACAAAGATTCATGAAAAACATTTTTTTCTTTCATAATTTACGATATTTAAAATACCAAAATAGCAGAAGCATAATGAATGTCAAGGGAAAGCTTTATAAGGACAGCTGAGATCGGTAAGTTTCATGATGTTTGATGATCTAATAGAATTGGCATAATTTCATTAGAATATTCTCAGAAAATCAAAATTATTTTTGATCTTCTCATTTGGCGCAAACTTGAGACTATCATAGAAATATATCTGAAAATGAAAAAAAAAGAATTGTGAGAATGTTCAAACAGAGCATTGAAACCTTTGCACCTCGTTGTGATGATTGACTCATAGTCTTTGCTGATGATAGTTGAGGTAACTGATTTAAACTAAAGCGATCCGTATTGATAATTTTCTTTTCGTCCGATTGAGTGGGATGATCATCAACAACGTTGTTTGATTTTTCTGTTGTCGCAATCAGGAAGTCGTCTGTTAAGCTAATTGGGTAATCAAAGTTATTTATCCAATCTCCTTCATCAACATGTTGTTTATTTGAATTTGAAATTTTTCTCCTTCGTTCATACTTTTTGACTTTTTCAACAATTCGATCAAGTAGGTCTGATAACGATGATAGTTTCTCCATCATACGTTCAACGTCACGAACACGTTGATCAACAGGTTGTCCATTGGTTTCTGGAAAAATCTTGTTGGAACGGGCAGTTTCTGCAACATGAATCAGGAACTATGGCCATATAGGTAACCAGCTTCACATTATTATTACTTTTCATTAATGAATATGAGAAAAAAAGAAAATATTTCATTTTTTTTGTATGACTGACGGTTAAAAAAACCTGAAGTTTTTGATCTTTCCTTGTTGGAACTTTGAAATTCCGGTATTGGAGGTAGTAATGGGTCTGTCAATGAATTGTATGAAACATCAACGACTTCAACAGGATTCTTCAAATGGAAAAGAAAACAAAATTAATTTTGATTTATTGATAAAAACCGTTTGTGTCATCTGTTGCTCTGATGGCTGGCTATCAATTCCTAATAAAACTGTAAAGAATTTAATTATAACACTCGTCTTGTTCATTTGTCATTTTCAAATTGCAAATTTACCATGGCACAATGGGCAGGAAGGTAGGGCTTCATCTACTGTTGCTGCTGCTGTTGCTGCTGCTGCATCTTCTTCTTTTTTTTCTGCTGCTCTTGCTGATGGTATTGCATCAATCAGCAGGAAGAAATGTGATAGCAATAGCATGAGAATATAAAAAAATTGCGAAGTCAAGTACATAATTATTAAATATTGTTTTGTGTTGAATGTGTTTTTATACATTTCACTCTATCTGATCTGCAACGTAATGAGATTTCCAGATAGGTACTTTCACTAACATGCTGTGCATCAAAAACTTTATTTTTGACAGTAAATGGCCTTAATAGATCCATGCATATACATCAGAAAGTAGATTAAACAACAGCAGAAATAAAAATATGAAGGAAGACAAGAAAATAATGACGAAAAATGGAAATGGTAGGATGATGAATGACGAAGAAGGAAAAGGAAAACAACTACTCAAATGCGCAGAATAGTAATCAGAAGACTTTCGCTTGAACACATGCGTAAGTCTTCACGTGTAAAATTTTAAACCAGTCAAGGAACATTCAAGAAAATGAAAGTTCAATGACAAACGGAAATGAAGAGATCGTTCGCGAGCGCAAAAAACATTTTTTCTCTCGTATGTGGTTATATATAGAAGATTCAGTTTTGATTTTGAACTCTAGGAGTTGTCTTAGTTGGAAAGGATGGAAGTGCGCAGACATATTCATCAAGCATCTTCGGTGTTTCCTTATCAAATTTCTTAATCAAAGAAAAAAATTAAAAATAGCTTGGTTAGGATGATTTGATACCTTTTTGGAAGTCGGTTTCTTATCTTTCGAACTTTTTTCTGGTGAAGTTGCAACCAATTTAGAGCTTTTCTTCGAAGACTTGTTGGGCATCATGATATAGAGTCTGATTAAGGAATAGCAGATAGTGGTCGTATGTTGCCGAGCAAGCGCGTATATATATGTTTTAAATGAGTTTTATTCTTCGAAATTTTATGTTTTCTCCCCTCTTGTTACCATAACAACCGATTGCATCTCATATAAACAGTTGGATGGATACTCGACGTATCAATAAACGACTGCAGCTCGCAAGCTATTCCTGACTTGGATAAGTTTTATTTCGGAAAAATTAATATGATTCACAGAATCAAATTGAGTAAGGTTATTCAGCTCCTTAAAAATGAAGGAAAAAAATAAATTAAGAGAAACAACTTAAACAAGACAATTACAACATTTGAAAAGATATAATTTCATCAGAAGCATCAGTTTGTCCCGCCTTGCTGTTTCCCTTATTCCTGTTCAGTGTTCGTGGTCGATGGCTGCTTCCGGATTTGTTGACGCGCTTCTTTCGTTCTGAAAAAGAAGTTGGAAATAAATAAACGTTTAAAAAATGTATTTTCAAGAGCCAGAATTACTAGACGGACAAGCTTGAACAAAGGGATAAGATAGATAGTTACCTACTAAGTCATGATGCGAAGTTTCGGAGGCATGCTCGTCAACGATATGAGGCTCCTCATGATGATGATGATTTGACTGAAAAATATTAAGATTTCACATGGTCATTCTCCCATACTATCATATATCAGAGGGTTATTGAGAAATCATGAGCCTCTCTCAGATACACTCCGTTTTGGTCTTTCCTATCGCTATCTATCTCATAATCTTTAAGAAAATATTTCACATACGTCAATATTTCTTTTTACAATTTCCTTTTCACCGTCCATCGTATCTTCTTCCGGTTCTTCTTCATTGCTCTCGCTTATTCCCTTCAAAGAAAAAATTTTTGATTTTTATGTTGTAGACAGCTATCTTTGATACTTGATCGGAATTTCTCTTTTTTCGGTTTTCAGGAGAAGGTGTATGACTTCCATGATTGGCATGATGCATAGACTGAAAAACGACAACAAAAAATGAATGGAAAATCTTGTAATGGGAAACTAACATGTTCAGAATGACGTTTTTCGGGATTGTGATGACCATCAATGGTCTGAAAGAATAAAAAAAATGTGTTTGAAATAAAAAATTTCAACTTATTCTTTCTCTCATCTTTTTCTCTTATGAGTTACAGAACACAAAAATGGTTCTGGGTGGATTTGTCTTCTCTACACTTTCTTTATTGTATTCTTCCTTTCTCTGTCTCTCCCTCTCACAATTCCTACCGATCGTTTCTGATGATGTTCGTCGTTTTCTTTATCTATTGCATGCTCAATATGACCATTAGTCCCACTTCTCTTCTCATATCCTTCGTCTGGAATTAATTGTCATTAGTTTCATAAAATTTTCATAGATAATAAGAACATACGGTGATGATCGTCGCTATTCCTTTTCACATTTTCCTAAATAATTCGAATTTTAATTTATTATTTATTCGTTTTCTAACTGACATGTCCATTCTCCTTTACATGCGCATTGGCCACATCATTCTCTTTAGCTGTTGTGGAGTGGGAAATTTGTGTTTCAAGTAGATGACTATGATCATTTTCATCTGAAGCTTTTTTTTCATTAAAAATGAGCATTCTTTGTTTTCTTCCTCTTTGGCACGTTGCCCCTTTCCTTTATACTTCTCTCTTTCTGTCTTTCCCTCCATCCCTCCCTCTCTCTCTCTTCATCACTTTTTTCATTTTTATATATAATTTTACGCACTAACACTCCTCCTACTCTGCTAACTACTCTATTGAAATCAAAAAAAAAAGTTACCTTCGTGAGCTTCTGCTGCTCCTGCAGTTGGCATAGAGCTCGCATACTTCAGCGAAAGTATGAGAGTTAAGGATAGCAATAACTTCATAGAGATTTAGATATCGAATGAGAGATAGAGGAAGATAAAAGTATTAGGTTCGTCTGTTCAGACTATACTGTACGGATTGAATGAGCTCTTGTGATTATCCCAAGTTTGGACTTAGACAAGTTAAATATTTGTGGGAGGTAGTGCGACCTCCGAGAATAATTGAGAATGGCAAAAACTAGTCTAAGCCATACAGATATCCAATTATCTTGTGACAATTATCTCGAATCATAGATAGAATAGTTGACAGCAACTGACAACAATTACAAAAATTCAATTTTTCCCTCAATTCAGATGACTGGATAAATATGATTCAGTCAGCCATCTTCTGATGTCTAAATATAGAAAAGTTCTTCATTCAAAAACTTTTTTTATCGACTGATGATGGGTTGAAATGAAAAAGGTCTCTGTGCTTCGGACACAATCGCTCACACAGTAAACACATATTTGTCATTAATGAGCTGAAAGTCCAGACGTGCAGGTTCATGTCATTTTGGTGCTTTGATCGGTAGTAAACCGTAATGACTACAATCAGTCTAGTGGGGGGGACCATAACGAAGACCGATTTTCGTTGGGGAGTTGCGAGAACAAAAGGGAGTAGAGAGTGATTAGCATGATGAAGATGTAGAAAAAGAAAGAAAAAGATGATCGGAAAAAGAGTGTATGCCCTCGTGAAACTGTTTCGACGTCATTTGATTCGGAAAGGAACGTGGGGGTCTGTGTGAAGGGCAAAAAGAGAAGATTTTGTCGGAGAAGTCATAAAACGAAAAATAAAAATGTCCCGCGAACTTCAGTTTCTGACAACATCTCATCTGCGACATCTATCATCATCTGTAGAAAAACGTTTGGTTAATCTTATCTTAGAGAGTGGTAAAGAGGGAGAAAGAGAGAGAGAGAGAGAGAAAGAAAGAAAAGAAGTTGGGAGAAAAAAACAATTTGGCGTTCGGTTAACTCGCATAAGTTGTCGGAAGTTTTTTTAGCATTCGATTTTGTTGAAAGGTGATGAAGATGTGATCCCGTTTCAGTTATTTTATTATAATGTCATTGACCACATAAAGTATGTTAAGCAAGCAGACAATCCTTATCAATATGAACTAGAGTCCATTGGATTCTGAATGAGAAAATTCAATGATTTGCCAGCTTTTCCTGTTAACCACAACACCACGTTTGCATGGAATTTATCATTTATCAATTGAAATTGATAATTGCAACCGGTCAACAGATCTTCGGAAATTAAAACTAAATTTCTTCTTCAACATGGGACCATGAAGCATTCCATATTTGACTTTTATGGGCATTTCCTGATAGCAGTAGAAGCAGGGTTTACGCATTAACAGAATGGGAGAGACCAAAGCTTCTTCAGTCCATTGGGTTACTAATAATTTCTCTGCAAGATACAAGCCTTATCACTTGTTTTTGTCACAAAATTAGAGCCTCCAGTCTATTCTTGGAGAGTTGAAAGTATTTCATCCAAACTACCAAGAATAGTATCGACATATCGCGTCTAGAAACGTACGCTGAGAGTGCGGGAAACTAACTGCCACGCAGTATGTGAAACCATCCAGCAAACACTTAGTGTGTTCCTATAAAGATTCTAGTCGTCAATCGGGTTTCAGTTCAGAAAGCATACGATTTCTTTTTTTTTGTTCTTCCTCCTAAGAAATACATTTGATAATCTCTTTCCCATATTTCACATAAACACAAAGAACAAAAGATCAATCGATTGCATTAAAATAGACCAAAAGATTGTTCTAATCAAACGTTTTCTTCTTGTTAACCTTTAATGGAGAGATATCTTCCTATTGAATTTCTGTTTCTCTCGTTTCCTCTCTGTATTATTATTTCTCTTTCTCTTTCTTTGTATGTTTCTATTGATATAGAGATCGAAAGATGGTTTATTGACGTGTTAGATTCAATTGTTATTGGGCAGTGTGTTTGTAGTGTGATGTCTTCCCTTATTTGGTCTTTTTTTAAATAATTATTCTTCCATAATGTATAAACTAACATTTTTTGTGACTAAGATGTCTGCCTTTGTCCCTTAGTGATCTTCTTGAACTTTTTCGAAATTCACTTGGAAAATTCTTTTATCTTCACCTTAATAGGTCTCATGACTGTTTGGCTATAAAGACTTCTTGTGAGTTTTTGGAAAATGGTCTAGACATTTTCTGCATATGATCTCTTTTTCTTGATTTTATTTCATCTCATGAGACTTCTGTTGAGCGAAAGCTAATAGAGATCATTCACCATCGATTGTTTTGAATAGAAAATTACTAATAAAGAGAAGAGTGTCATCCATTTATTTAGTTGGATGAAATTGCTCTGTCTTCAACGCAATCGCTATCAATTTTGCCAACCAAACCAAATTGTAGCGTTGGCCAAGATGGGGACGATGATGAGAAAGAAATATTATTTTTTGGAGAAGAAATGACCAAAAGTGCATATGGTACTTGATGTTTATAAACACTATTGATAACAACGATAAACGGTAGAGTTCGTCGTAGCTGACGAATTCTCTACCTCTGCTGAACAACTGGATCTTATGGCATGGGTTGAAGTCATGAGAAAATCAACTGTTATCGTTAAGTTTAATAATAACCCTTCATTAAGTACTATTTCTGCCTTCTCAACTCTATTTCTCTCCGTCTGTATTTGTTCGTGTAGCAAATGATCATATGGCCTTCACTTCCGACGTTGATGTAACCTTCTTTCCTATACATACACTCACCAACCAACCTACTAGATGGGGTATTCGTTACATTTGGTGCGTCTCTGATCAGATGTTAAGGAAATATTGAATGATGATGAGAGAGAACGTGGCAATCTAAGAGCAAATGGTTGAATCAGAGAGTGGGAGTGACAAAGCATTAATTGAGAGAGAGATTGGCATTAGGGCAGAGAGATCAGAGAAAGAGAAATAGGCAAGAGAGCGAAAGACATTCAAACGAAGGTAAGACCGGTATTTTTTATAGCCATCGCTTATCGATTACACCCCGTTATTCGCTCAGTTCGATACCTTTTAAAGAATTATCAAAACTTTCAATTATTTCACTTAATGAAACTGAGATTTGCTCATATCATCTTGATTCGTTGATCTTTTGAATGTTCGCTAAACTATTGTCAGTGATTGTTATTGATTTATTGATTGGGGCAGTCCCCCTCCTCCTCACATTCGGCTGCGCCCTTTGTTCGCTAGCAAGCTCAAACATTTATCGTTTTGTTACTTTATAAGTTATCGTGTTGATATCATCGAAGGTCTTGCTATGTTTGTTCGTTTTGATATTTTCAATATGATTATCGATTAATTATATTAATATTTCTCATTCAGGTGGAGTCTGGCACCGCGTTCATTGCTTTTCGCAAAGCATCTACAAACCAACTTAATTTAAAAGCATAGTCGTTCCCAATGTCAGCCGACGCTCAGCCCAATCCAAAGCAACGTTCTACAATCGAAAAACATCCTAAACCACCGTTCAACCCGAAAGAATTGAAGTGCGAACCGGTAAAGTGTGTTGCACAGCAGAAGGCGGCCATAGGCACTCAAGTGAGATTTTTTAACTTATTTATCATTTCTATAAGTTGGCCATTATTGGCATGAACCATTCTCGAGACACTTGATTCTGATCTAAATTCTAATTTACTGTGTTAGCAATTTTTCGTTCACGTTACAACTTCCAGTGTGTCGTATGTGGAGATCGTGCTTGTTCGCATCTATACTATGGAGTCGCTGCCTGCCATGGATGTAAATGTTTTTTTTGGAGAACGGTGAAGAGCCATCTAACGTATACTTGTCGGTATAATGGAAACTGTTCAATTTCCACAGGTAGTTACTTTCACCAACTTTCTATCTCTGTAACATCATCTCACACCGTAGTCTTAATGTTATTGTATAATATCGTTTAGCTGGGAGAAATGCTTGTCGCTTTTGCCGTTTCACCCGTTGTCTCAACTCCGGAATGAAACTCGAAGGTTTGTCCTATTTTTCTTTTCCTAGAAAAAGCAAAAGCAATTTAGCTGTTCGTATGGATAAGAAAGATGATAAGAAACCCAAACGCAAGAAGGAAGAAGAAAACGACGAAAATAAAAATGACAGTCCATACAATGTGAGAAATCTGCTTCAAATGACTTAATGCAATTGTGTTCCAGGATCAGCCTGATCTTAAGAGAGTCCGAATGGACAACCGTTTATTTGTAAGCTCTCTCTTGCTGGTAGATAGAACCAGCAGAGATGGAGGTGATCAACAGACTTCCCCATATCCTGTGGCTCTTGAAAAAGCCATTCAGCATCCCGAAATGTTGAATTCCGATCGCTTCCCTGTATGTTGAACTTTTTAAAATAGCTGAAAAATCATTTTGTTAAGATGGAATACAACATGGGAGCCGCTGCCGACATGATTGCTTGCGGTGAGAGCGAGCGTCGGCTGGTAATCTGGGCGCTTGACTGGATTAGACAGGCGGCCGACATTAAAGAAGAGGATAGTATCAGCGCGACGGATAAGGTATTAAATTGCTTTTTTTCAATCGTTTCCATGTTTTCCAATTTTTTTTCCTGTGAATGGCAATAGAGAACTCTGAAATTTAGGTTTGCTTGTTGCGTGCTGCGTGCAGTCCTCTCCTGCTCTTGGAATTGGCAAATGCTAGCTGTAATACCATGGAAACAGCGCTTCCTCTTCCTAATAACACTTATCTTTATAAAGATAGTCAACTACCAAAGAATTGGTTAGCTCTCATATATTCATGATACAAACGTTCTTTTCATTTATAGCTTCTTAAATACTCGTTTAACTTCATCAATTTTATCTTGGGCTAATAAGCATTTACGTATGATGAATCTTTCGCCCAAGGAACTTGTGCTTCTGAAAGCTCTGATCGTTTTCAACCCAGGTTAGAACTCTGATTCTCGACTTTCATTGATTTCTCTATTACAGATTCGGAAGATCTTTCACCTATGGCATCTGAGAACGTTGCAGAGCTCAGATCACTTGTTCAATCTTGTTTGTTCCAAATTTGTGTTGATCACGTTGGAATGGAACAAGGAGCAAAGCGCATTTGCTCTATTCTTCTTCTTGTACCTCAGATACAGGTGAGATCAATTTGTCTTCAAGTATTGTTGCAATAACATGATCTTTGAAGGTAATGGCAGTGGAACTTATAGAACATATTCGTATGAGAAACACTTTTGCTCCAACTCTGGCCGATCCTCTTGTAAGCGAGCTTTACGGGGACATCTTTGACAACGATGCCAAAGATGATCAGTCAATGTTTGTGAACATTCGCTCTTGAAAACTGATTAATTGATGTTTAGGAACTCATCTTCCTGTAGCCCAAGCACAAACTCAGTTGACAGCACTTAACTATCTACTTGACATAATTAAAAATCATGTAACAGTTCAATACATTTAAAATTATTGCCGATCTTAGATCCTATCAAGTTGTTAATTTCTCTTTTTTTTATATACGTTCGTTTTGTAATAAAGTTCACGTTAACCCTTTTTTTTTAATTTGTTCAAATTGCTTAAGCAGTTTTCGATATGCTAATTTGACGTTCATACGAGATTCAGATTTTATTGTTTATGTGTGGTCAACACAGAACGGTTGCATACAAAGACAGAACATGAGAGTAGCGTTTTAAACAATGATAATTAACCATATCATTTATAGCATGCACAATTACCTATGAAATAAAAAAAACAGAACTACAACAACACTTAAAACAAATTTTACCAGCATTAAAGAAACAATTTTACACATGAGATAATTTCTTAATTAATATTGTTATGATATCTTGATTAACTAAGATCAGAGCGGAAGCCAGGAAGATTTATGCTCTTCAATTCCAAAAACTCGTTTAGTTCATACAGGCAAAAAGCCTTATGCTGCTGAATATGCCGAAAACGATAAATGCGATTGTCTGGATCTTCCCCCCAAAAGAGTTGATTCAAGAAAATCTCAAAGATATGAAAAGGAAAAGAATGAAAACTATCAACTTCAAAAACTGCTTATAATTCTAGCATCATTAATCAAAGAATGATATCGAAATAAAGAGTTGGGAAGTATATAAGAATATTTAAATATATGTACTAATATACTTGTCACCGTTGATTCAAAGAAATCTCGAAGATATGAAAAAGAAAAAAATAAAAACTATCAACTCCAAAACTGCTTGTAATCCTAGCATCATCAATCAAAGAATGATATTGAAAGATGAAGAAAAATAATGAAGAGCAGGGAAGCATGTATGAATTTTAAAATGTATGTACTCATATACTTGTCACCGTTAACCAGACGAAAATAATTATATTGCAGTTTGATATATACTTCTCTGCGATGCTAGGATCACAAGCAGTTTTTGAACTTGATTAGTTTAGTCATTTCCTTCTCATATCTACCGAGATTTTCTCGAATCAACGGAGAAAAGTAAATGAGTACATACATCTTAAAATTCATATATACCTCGTTGTTGATAAAAATGATTAAAAAAGTTTTTAAAGTTTTGAAGTTGAGATGTAGTTTTTTTAGTTTTTATTCTTTTCTAACTGCAATATAATTAGGAAGCAAGCAATTACAGAAATTATACTACATTCACCACTTCGCAAGGATTATAGTTGGGAAGCAATTACAGAAATTATACTACATTCACCAGTTCGCAAGGATTGCTGTACATCTCTTAGAACAAACCGCACTGTCGCAAATTCTCACGAATTATAATATCTGTGACAGCATCGAATACAAATCGAATATTATTAGTATCAGTTGCACATGTGAAGTGTGTGTAAATTTCCTTAAAAAGATATTGCTAGGTGAGGAAATTGTCTTGTCAACTACCTTGTGGCCATCTCGCCTCTTGTTCATGTTTTCGAATTGTAGTTGAATGTAAGTTGCAGCTTCGTCAAACGAATTTGGACCTACAGAAAACAAAAAATTTCAGATAAAAAGTGAATGGATTACCTGTATATTCAGGGAAACATATAGTTAAAGGAGACCGTTTTATTTTCTCCTCGAACAAATCCTTCTTATTTAAAAATAAGATTATGGATGTTTCAGTAAACCATTTGTTATTACAAATGGAATCAAAAAGTTTCATAGATTCTACCATACGATTCTACAAGCGATATATCATATAGCTTTGAGTGATCTTGACTAACCATTTCGTCATCTTCTGCTAACACCATATCGTACTCACTCATTGCAACACAGAATATAATAGCGGTAACTCCTTCAAAGCAATGAATCCATTTTTTTCTTTCTGATCTCTGCCCTCCAACATCAAACATTCTATGAAGACAACATTAATTTGTTATAAATGGAAATTCCTACTTGAAATGTAAATCTTTATAAGTAAAATGAGTCTCTACTATTCCTGTTGTTTTCACTCTGGTTCGTAAGACGTCATCCTGAAATAAGACGCTCATCAAATTTTCGAAGGCAGCATATTCTATCCAAACAAGAATGAAAACGAACCTGTGTTGGAATATAATTAGGCTGAGATATTTTATCCAAATTGTTTAAGTAATAAGATGCAGAGTCGTTTAATTGATACTCTCTTGACCTGAACAATGATTATTGAAATGAAATCAAAAAGTGACTTTCTGACCTAAAGTAACATTCCTGAACTCCTGAATCTGTCCATAGTCGCTTCATTACAGCAGCAAGTTCTAGGGGGAGCTCACCCTACAAGGTAATTTACTTGAAAAAAAGATAATACATGAATACCTCATCGCAATTCTGGCTAATGTTGAAGAATTGCTTAGCGTCACTAATACGCTGTTGGTCTCCAAACTCAATTCGAAGATTACCCATAGCACGTAAAATAGCTACCATTGACTACAAAGATAAGCAAAAATAAAAAAAAAGAGCAGAAAGTCTCACCTGGATGGTATTACTGAACACAACAGGCTTGTATTGCTTTCTTTCTTCATCACTATATCCAGTTTCGTGAATAATTTTCATCTGCTTGACAATGGTACTTTTTCCTGACTCTCCAGCTCCAAGCAAAAGCAGCTTAACTTCCCGCGATGCCCTTTCCTGATCTTGTTTAAGCTGCAATTTCGTAATTCATAGTTTACTTGAGGAAAATCCTCTCAACCTGCTCATCAATTGCTTTTGAGCGTTGTTTAGCATGTTGATCAGTGCTATTCACGCAACCCATAGCGGATTACTGAAATTTTAGAAATTTTAGAAACAAAAAGAACGCCTACGACCGACGAGAGCCCGATTGCCCGAGAAGTATGAACAGCATAAAAAATTAACGTGAAAAAATGAGGCAAAAAGTTTAGAAAGATTAGTGAAAATGAGTTTATGTGGAAGAAAGTGTAATGAAGGGTTATAAAAAGCAGAAAAAAACAAAAAAAACGGATAATTTTGATGTAATTAAAATAAAATTAATTCAATACCATGTAACGCCGCTCTAAATTCAAAAGTTCTAGCGAGCAGTGGATGGCGCCTGCATAGAAGTGTTGCGTCGCGTGTCGTCATGTTATAAATAGAGCATACTGTTTGGTAAGAACTGAACCCAGGTATCGCATAAAATTAACTAAAACTATCCCTCATGTGAAAAGGATGTGAGTCACATGAACATTAGTCTCGTGGGATCGCATAGGATTCAGGCTTAAATCGGCCTGTTGTGTCGATTGAAAACTCTTTAATGAAAAGGTTAATTGTCTATCCTCATCTGAAACGGAAATTTCATTAATTTTCAATGCGCCTGGCTCTTTCACTTCATCTTTTCTCACTTCGGCCAAGCTAACAGTAGCGTTATTATTTTAAAAAGTTGGATTATATTAAACGGTAAAGCTTAATTAAAGTGGAGAAGGGTGAAGTATGTGAGTGGGAGAGACACTACAAACTACATATGTTGACTAACTTTGCTATATATGGCTATCGATATGAATTAAGCCAGCGGATCGTGAAGGTAACTTCGAGCTCCGAAGAGAAAGAAAGTTGTGGGCAACGACTAGATTTATGAGTATTATATTATTAGCTTATAGACGGACACACCCCTTTCCAAAATGTTATTGCATAATTGATACAAATCAACGAGCGATGATTTAAAATGTTGGAAGTATAACAATATTGTAGGAATGTTTTGCTACTTTGAACTGCATTGTTTCTAGGAAGCGCATTAGGTTCATAGTTCGTCTTTTTTATTGTCAAATGCACAACGGTTAATTTGATTTCGAGTTGAGAGCTCTCTTAAACTTCAATGCAATTTTAGTCGTGCATACATTAATTCCACGTGCGACTCACGTGGGCAAACATCGTCATTTTCATTTAATGTGTCGTAAGGAACGGTTGTGTTCAAATAATTTTATTATGTTTAATTAAAACGATACATTTTTGAGGGGTTATTCAGCTGTCTTCCGGTTTCTTCTTCACGATTGAGCCAGGAGCTGGATATGGGCGCTGCTGGAACAAAGGTCCAGTAGCCGTCACATCAGCACCAGTATTATCATGTTGTCTTAATCCAGCAGACCATGAACCACTAAAATACATATTGAAACATCCCGTAATGAAAAAAAATTTTTACACATCCGCATCTCCATAGGCTGCAGGATCCATAGGGTCAATTCCTTTTCTTCTGGCTCTTTCTGAGAAACAATTGTATTTTTGATCAATTGGGTGAATGAGGGAAGAAACTAACTTAATCTGTCACGGTCATCTAGTTTCTGAATATCTTCTCCTTCCGAGTCAGAGTCTTCTGGTTCAGGAGTGAAATCCTTCGAAGAAAAATTTAATTGTGAAGTGGATTCCTAAGCTTACTCTTCTACGCTTATGGTCTCTGTCTCTACCACGCTCGTATCGATCAAGTTCTTTATCTCTTAGCCGTAAATTCTAAAGTAATGAATTGAAATTAAAATTGAAGCGGAAGAGGGAACTCACTACTCCATCAAATCCATCAAAACGTAGCTTATCTGCCCGCTCCCTATGTGAATTAATTTTAGCCATTTTTGGTGCCGCAACGCCGATCACAGCCTTTGGATGTCTCGGAGAAAGCCAAGAAACCTAAAATTTTGAAAATTTTCAAAGCAAATTCAATGTATTTACTTCATCAGTTTCTTGATTCCAATAGTAATGACGCCCTATTCCATTGTCATACACCTCAATCCACCCTTCAGGCAAAGGATATTTAGACAGCATTCTACTCTTTTTTCGTATGTATGATTCTTGTAAACTGAAACACAAACACTTCCACTAATATGTGAAATACAAAAGCGAACCGATGTTCTGGTAAACCATCCCCCCAATGATCATGGCAAAATTCAACACAAACGTGAAATGGATTATACTTATTCGGACAACCGATAGCTCCACTTCTACTATCAGCAGCTACTTTTTCTTTTTCTGTACTGTCATAACTTTCTGCGAAAACTTCTTCGGAATCTGATAAAAAAGTTAGCAAGAGAATAAACGATTTACTAATACCGTTTTTAACTATTCCTCTTTTTTGTAATCTGGCCAATAGCGCCGGAGGTAGAGTTGCCATTTAATCTGAAATGAAGGTGAATAAAGACGGATGAAGTTTGTGAATTTTCCAAAAAGAAATTCAGCAAATAGAAAATAATAAACAATGTTTCAATTAGAATCATAGCTACATCTTCAAGCTTTCAGTGCATACGAAGTAATAATGGTCTCGCAAAGAATGACCTAGCGTTTGGCGCGAAAAAAAAATATTCATATTTTAGATGCTAGCGCTTGAATATCTATTAATGCTACAAGCTCAAATGCCCATTTATGCAAATTTTTACAAAATAGATTGAGAATAACATTTTCAGAGTACACTAATAACATATCCAGTACACCATAGTTGTAATGACCGAGCAAGATGTGTCCATCTTTACGCAATGTCTTCGTGGCTACTCAGTTGCTCCTGTTGGAAAGGTTAGACAATTTGTTCCAACTTGATATAACTGTTCTTATTGTAGAATGTGATTCATCCTGATCAGGTTTTATGCGAGCTCAATGATGTTTCGTCATGCCCTAGCAACGAAAACACATTTGCAGCTGAAACGACTGATATTGACGTAGTGAGTTGATTCTTCAAATATTCAAAACTTTTGTTTTTGTAGTCTGACTCTCTATTAGTTTCAATGTGTGGAGATAAAACCAGATTACAACAGCTGAAAGAACGTAGAGAGCAGTATTTGAATGTTTGTTTCTGCAATATTGTTGTTGAGTTATCTGAATATTAATTAGGAGGAACGCGAACTTGGTGGCTCTTTCAATATTTTCAATAATGAAGTACCAAAATTTACTAGCATACCCGTAGAAGATGTAGATTTGAATAAAACTCCAGTACAAACTGCTGGATCCCAGGTATGATATTCTTCTTCTAGCGCTTGTTCAAAGTTACGGTAGGGGAGAATTGGTGAAGGCTGTTCAACACCCAAGGACATCATTGATCATACGTTTGGCCCGTTACGGCATCTCGATCTTTCTGAGGTAGCTGATATAACAACCCACCTGAATCTTCCGAAAGTATTAGCAGATAGTACCAATAATGATAAGGTGAGAGTTAATTTCATCGTACCATTCATTTATGTTTAATTCAAGAGACCCAAAAAAATTTCAATGGTACCCGAGAAGCGACAGAGCGAGACTTTTGTGTTACCAGTGGTTAACAATGAGGGGACTTTCCTGGTTCCAAAGCCAATTCGACGTATCTCGAAACCCGCTGACGCAAAAAAAGAGGAGGTAAAGGTGGGTGTGATTCAGCATGCAACGATACCGCTCGTGTTATAGAAGACGGATAGCCTTTCTGTTAAAGCTATAGCGAATGCTGCTTCACAGAAGGCTACTGATACTCTAAAATTTAACCTGAACGCCGAGGTAAGAATTTTGATACTTGCTTCTTCATTTCACTTGTTTCCCTTTTAAGACTGTGGAAAAAAAGAACAATCTGAATGTATTGATCAAGCCAGCTAAAGTTGCAACCATTCCCCCCGCAAATGAACAGAAACAGGTAAGTATCTTCATAAAAAAGATTGTTAGTCGTTCATTTAGTCCGAAACATTTGTTCTGGATCGTGAAGAAACTTTTGTTATACCCGAGAAAGTTACTACACATCCTGTCAAGATAGGATCATCTGCTAGGGAGAAACGAGAGCAGGTAAAACAACAAACTTCAGTTTTTTGTGATGTTCAGTTGCAATCTTACAGAATAGAAAGAATCAGTCATCTCTACTGGAAGATTTGCGTATGGATATTAACTCCCCCGGCCGAATTATGTTTGGTTCTAGGTGAACCTGAACAAAATGTTGTTAGTTTATTGTTGGTTCTTTCAGACCTGCTAAGAAAGTTAGAGAATTGCCCCCAACACCAGTTCAGAATCGTGATGTGAACGAGAAGAATCTTTGTAAGAACAATTTGGTCTCAACTCGAGTTTAATTTTGTGTTTAGTTGGCATCAGAGACAGGATTGGTGTTATGACACTGGGTTCAAAGATATCCAAAGCGAAAGAGAGAATTGTTGACGAGAATCATGACGAAGACTTAATTCTAACTGTTCCTGCAACGGGCAAGGAAGATGATGTTCAGCCTGATGTTGATATGGGTACACCTAAGAGAAGTACTGGATCCCAGCGAACTAACGCCATTCAGGTAGGCAATGATTAAGCTTTTGTTTGTTTTAAATTGCTGTTAAGGCTGTTGTTGATCGTCTGTATCAGTCCCCTTCTAGGCGTATTCGTGAAAAAGTGAGTCCTTTTGAAGCTTTAGAATTTAACCCCGTATCTCAGGAAATATCAAAGAAACCCACTGCAGCTCCGACGCCATCGAAAGATGATTTGTTGGCAACTCCCACTCGAGCACAAGTAAATTGTATAATAGTTACGATCGTTATGTCCTCTTTTTTTTTAGAAGACACCAAGAACAGAACTAACTCCCAACGCTAATTTCATGAAGCCAACTGTGTCGTCAGTCATGAGAACTTCAATAAACTCTGGAAAGCGAGGTATGATGAACCTATTTGATCTTTAGTCTCATCCTTCTACCGTTTCCAGGTGCTGATGTCAGTAGAATTTTACAGGAGAGTGTTTTAAGAACACCTACTTCTACGGGTAAATCCTACTAGATCTATTAGTTACCTAACGCATTAATTCAGAGTGTACACAAATTATGTGCGAGAGACAGATGAACAGTGGGGTTATCCCTCGTTTCGATACTGCCAAAATTGATCGCACCAAATTGGAGAGAATCCGCTTATTCCCTAACGATGTTTGTTTCTCGAGTTACCAAGTGGTTCATCCGTTCAAGTTTTTTTAGACTCGCAATGAATCGTTTATGTCGACTAGAGAAGCGAACCTCGCGAAGTCTCGGTCAAAACGAAAGTCGCAGGCTGATGTTTATGATAATACAGTATGTTCATTTTACATGGTGAAAGTATCATCCCGAATAATCTAGTGTTCAAATGGAACAGAGAGGAGAAATTGTGTTCCGATCGCCGAAAATGCGGAAGAAAGTTTGGTAGATAACTCGATGGGTGGAGTACCAGACTGCTACGACGGTAAGAAACATTAGTTGAAATCACCTATGTTCCTTCAGATTCCCACGTTCAAAATGCAAACTGTCTGCCCAGTACTCCCTGTCGAGCTCCGGATGCGAAACGTTTGTCAATTAATTTTTTGCTTTTTTTGAAATTGTAATCACAGGTCTTCTAACTGATTCTTGTTGCACGGTGAACACGCCGTCAAGATCTGGGAACAAGCTGAATTTCGATGATGATGATGATGATAATGACGATCATGACAACAACAATGATGACAGCAATGTATCAAGCGGACGTGGTAACAAAATGTCTCACAGTGCTCGATTCGATAATGATGGATCAACAGTGAACGGTATTTGATTTTTCAGAGTAACAGCTAATGCTATGATTATAGATGAACTTTTCGAGAGATTGTCCGTTACTGATGACGAAGATAGGATTGTGTCGATAGGCCGCGTTCTAAAGCGCAAAAAAGTTGAAATCGTTCTTAAGCCAAGAGAAATAAGTAATTTTTGATTGTATATTTTGAAGCTTACTTATGGATTTAGTTAAACCCGTCATCGATGAAGACAGTGTTGGACTGAGACGATCAACAAGGAATCGGATGAAACCGACTAGAGATTGGCTTGGCGAGAAGCCAGTTTATGCATTTTCACCAAGTGGTCAGTTTCCAATCTTTGATCATAATATCATGGGCTCGTTCAGGTGGCAGAAAGCTTGTTGGATCTACTTCTGTCGTCATTCATGATCCTACGTTACTGAAGGCTCGTTCTTTGGATATCAATGTTATAACAGATCAGCAAATAAGAGAAAACGGTTGGTTATATGCAAATTTATCCAATTAATAATGAATGTTTAGCAAGAAAGAGAAAGGAGCGAGAGCGGCGCAGAGCAGAAGCTAAACTGAGAAAAGCTCGTAAAGTCAAGCAGCTTCGCGCGTTACACAGGAAAGGAGAGAACTTAGACATAACTGTTGACTCGATTGTAACAAGTTCTGATGAAGATTCTGAGTAGTTTGTGAAACTAATATTTAATTTTAATAACTGTATGTCTATATAAAGTGATCTCAAATTGTATAAATTGTAAAAATTCGCATAGCTTTCTAATTTTTAACCCTTGTTTGAAGCTACAATAAACTTTTACTTATTATTGTCGGATTCCCTTCCAACCGTCGCATTGCTTCAATTTGATTTTCAAAAACTCTTCTTTAGCTAATAATTTCGAAACAGTTTATCTATTCGAATAAGTTCAACATTCTCATTGAGAAAGGTGATGTTGATTAAAAACAATGAAAGCTAAAAAAATTTAAACTTTAAAAGGCACTTTAAATGGCGCACAAACAGGAGAAATAAATTAAATCTAACACGTTCTGGAAATATTTTCAGGAAAGTAAGTGGATGATGATTGTGAGAGATATGATTTGGAGCAACGAGACCGCTATAGCAGGAACTCCCGATATCGGCAATCCATCGAGAAAGTCAATAACCTGAATATAATATAGAAAAGTTGACTGAAAATAGTATATACCTTGATTTGTTTAACCGTTGATAATACAAGTTGATAACGTAAGGAATCGCCTTGAGCAAATTGATCAGCCAACTTCACTACAAAAGGGGAGCAGATCTGAAATTGAGGAAGCAGTGTTTATGTATTGGGAAGTGCGGTGACTACCTTTTCAGCGTCTCCGTGATGCCATTGAGTTTTTGTGTGATTCAGCAGCTTATTCATTCCATACCATTCAACTCTTAGAAAAGCACTCCCTGGATCACTGATCTCGGGAAGAAGAACAACTCGGCATTGAATATCCTTGAATTCAAGTAATGTAAAATCTATAACTACGGTTTTCCTAACCTCAGGCAACAATCGTTCAAAGGCAATCTGTAGCCGACTTGCAATATCAATTGCTCCATCAGCTGACAAGAAACCAGCTTTCTCCAAAATGTTGTGAGGGACTTCTTTTTGAAGCATCTCGATATCCAGGTTCGAATAACCCGCCGATATATACAACCCTGAAACTCATAGCTCAGAAAAAAAACATGGACTAGTATCACACCTGGATAAAGTTCTGGTATTTCTTCAGGATATTCACAAATGAAGTGAGAAGATTCGCAGAAACATGCACCGCGATCCTTGATGTATATTCTCTCACCGAAGTCTACAAAGCAGATGTAATGTAAGTTAAAGTTGGGTTTTTATTTTCTTACCAACAAGAGTTAATGGAGCCTCACATTGTCCTTCTTCAAGACAAGATACTACCTGACATGATAACTCATTCTCTGTTATACACTCACACCAAGAGGAACATCTTCCCGACCAGTCGACATAACGCCTGATTATCGTTCCAACAGGAGCGAATATCCACCTGCCATTAGCATCTCTAGTTGTGCAACCCTCTAAAATGAGTCCCAAAATTGAAAAAGTTTCCATAATATTTTTTACCAGGAGGAGGAGGAGCATGAGTCATGAATGTCGTTGTTGTTGTGGGTGCAACAGTAGTAGTTGTTACCCATGGTGGAGGAAGTTCAGAAGTTGTAGGTGGGCTCAGTGTGGTTGTTCGAAACTTCTTCGTTGTTTTCTTACTGCACAAAACATTGATTAAAACTCTAAAATTCTTACGACGTACCCAGCATATCGTCCATCTGCCCCAACAATGGGAGATGTTGTTGTCATTGGTTGGGAAGTCGTTGAGGAAGTTAGAGGCTTAACTTTCGTAGGCTCTTCATGTTCATCCTTAACTCGATAGCTATCTTCATTCTTCTACAAAGTTAAACATAACTAATTGAGCAAAGACAATACTTACATATAAGGGGATTATATCTTGAACCCTATTGGTTTCAAAACTAGTTGACGATTTTTCTACTGAATGATGACTATTTTCAGATCGATAAACATGTGAATAATCTAACATAGATTTTCCTGAAACAATAAGAAGAATGAAGAATGAGAGATAGCATTCATACCTATACAGGGATTATTTGGAATCATTAACCTTTGGTAGGAAATGCATTCGACATCAGAAAATGGGCAAAAACAAGGTTGTTCCAAGACAGAAGCTCTTTAAACAAGTGGAATTAGATATTCTTCATATAACAGTCTGATAGTTTACCTTGCAGTCAACAAGGTCTGTCTACATTGAGCAAGATTGTTAGCAACGCATTCCCCATTTGCAACTGGACAATAATTTGAAACAGATCGGAATAAGTGTCTGATATAGAAAGTGATGTAAAAGCAGTCCAACTGTTCAGCTTAGCATACCGGCATTTGGCATCCGATTCACATTTTCGATTTGTCTGAGTACACGTAGGGACTGGCTGAGATGAAGAATACAGGCATTTAGGATATAGAATGTCCTTAAATAGATAAATGAAATGGCTTATTCATTGAATGAAACAGCAGTTAATTAGCTGTGTCTCTTATCGATACAAATATTCAGATTTCACTTGGAGATAAATCTTAAATTACATGCATTACCAGAAATATAATATAATCAAAAAGAATGAGAAGAGCGGACAATTCTGCAAAACACAACCGCTCAACAACGCTACATAAGTTGCAAATGAAATTCAAAACGTTTTTTTAATTCACGTAATGGCTCACGCACATGTCAGAATGAAGAACTAGAAAAAAATCTAATTTTTGCTTTCTCTCTTCTGTGATCAAAGATGACAAAAGTCATGAAATGTAGGCCTTTTACTCATTCTCATTGATGCTTTGCGAACTAATAAAAGGATTCCTCGTCTTTCTTTTATTGAACTCTTTCAAAACTCATTTTAGGCTAATAATATTAAGAAGAAGCAATTCTGTGTGCGCCATTTTTGAAACTTAAGAAACAAAGAAATTTTTTTTCTTTATTTTCTTGTCTCCATCATGATTATCTTCTACGGTTGTTGCCGGCGTCATGGGTTTTGGTCGTCCAAAACTTCAGATAGCCGCTATGCTACCAGATCTTTGTGAGCTCGTCAATTCACAGGATAATCAATTGCATTCGATGATAATGAAACGAAGAAAAATTGAAGCAAGTTGTGGCAGCAGCAATAGCAGCAGCAAATGCTTTCTTTCTCTTTTACATTTTTCAAAATAGTTTTTGCTATAATGGGAAATGGAATGAAATAAAAAAACTTGACTGAGATAGGCAAATTCAATTGAAAGTCAATAGATATACTTTCTACACAGTTATCTAAAGTTCTCCTTCTCTTTTTCTCTTTCTGTGTGCCTTTCAAAATAATCATGAAAAGCTTTGAAAAAAACATTACCTGATGCTCTGAGCAGCTAATATCGTTTGCGGAACATTGACAAAACATAATTGCTTCAACTAGTTCATATGGAACATATCTTGAAAATCGTTGCAAAGCCTGCAAAGAATAAAAAAAGTTTTTTTTTCTGTTTTTCCTTTTCTTTCTCTCTCTTCTTCATATATCGTTAAGTATGGACTATGCTCATCAGCTTATACTTTCTCGGTTTAATGAATCAAAATACAAACTCACTAAGTCTTGCCCGGCCAACTTCCCCATTACCCTTCGCGGCCTTACCCCCTCCCCCCTCCTTTTCTTTCCTCTCCGTTGCAGCTCACTCATTCACTTCCCAAAACATTTTTGCGTTGGCGATGCATAAAAATTAATTTTAAAGAAAAAATGTCTTGACTTATCTGAAATCTGTCATGTTTTGTTCATTTATTTGCAATTCTCAGGGCTTCATCATGAAATGTTAGAAACTGCAGGAAAAGCGCAACATCAACATCCGCTCATTAACAATGAAGGCGTGATTTTGAATTTTTGTTTCTTCTCCCTAGTCACACTCGTCCCGTCTCTTCTGCTCAAGCTGATGCTGCTTGTTCTTACTCTTTTTTTTTATATTTTTTGCCAAACAATCAAGTGTTTTCTTTTTCGTTTTTATTTTTTTGTTAAAAAATCTGTTTCAGACGACGCTCAACTTCAAGCCATTACATCTTTTCTTTACGAAAAACGAAACAGAACAAAAAAGAAAACAAATCCCTCATTTTTTATGCGACGACAAAAAATGAAGAAAAGAAAAGGCATAGATGATGAAAATAGAAAAACCTTTTCGGCTATTCAACCAACCAGCATAGGCGTTTGCATAATCTTTAAATGATTATCTCTCATCACTACTTTCTTCACGCAGTTTATACGTTATGATGCCAAAATTAGCATAAAGAACTTACGGCAGCACAATCGTCCCTACGACATGATGCTCGACCACATCGAACACGCAGCTCACCAAGATGCCAACGACAATCTTCTGTTTGTTCACATTTCGCTAAGGCTAACTGACAGCTTGAACCTGGAATACAAAGAATACAATAAGACAGAAGCTCATCTTTTTCATCTATAATGAGTGTGTATGTTGTCAGCTTGACTAGATTTGCTCATAGTTTGCTTAGCCACTATTCCTCTCATCCTAACAGCATTGGCCAAGTTGAGTATAGGTACCCCTTTCTACCCCCTGTATTGCAGCATATTCTCGATTTTCACTAACAACTCATCTAGAGGCTTTCCCCGACGTCGGAGTCGTTGGTTCATCTCTCTTCTATCCCAACTCGACCAATGTGAGACATCTCTAAGCCCAGAAGCATGGTTAAGAATGAAGAGAAGCAGAATGAGAGATGAAAAGAGAATGAAAAGAAATAGGGGAGAAGAACGAGTCAAGAAGAGTGGGAGACCACCAAACATATACCCGCTTAGACAGTGAAGTTACTTGGTTTACTTGTTTGGCGGTGAGAAAAATGAATAAAAAATCGATATATTTCGAAAATAAAATTTAAAATAATAAAATGACTTTTAAGATTCTCTTTATACCAAACGAATGATGCTCAAAACAAATCCTTTGTTTGAGGGAAAGACGAAGAAGAAGCATAGAGGGGAAGACGGAGGAGGTTCATGATTCAAAACGAATATTTGAAAATCTTTATGGAAAAAAAAAGAAAAGAAAATCAAAAAATAATTGATTTACGCATAATTTGCGACATTAATTTCACAAAAGCTTCAAGACCAGATTCAAACTATGCTCTTCCTGTTTTAACCCCATTGGGCACGAGCTTCGAAACATTGAACCACCAGAGGGCTTCTCACAAATAGCCTCATGGGGGAACTGGACACTAGTCTTTCCCAAGTTCTTTTTCTCTCTTTTTTTTGTGATCTGAAGTATCAGCAGCAGAATAACCTCCCATAGACGTTTTCTCTATTTCAGGCTACATATCTCTCTCAATAACAACTTGAAATGAAGAAAAAAGAAATGAAATCATTGGCTATACATGCGGACAGTTCACACTTGTCTGTCTTAGCATGATGCCGTTCAAGAAAAAAACTTCGAAAACAAATTTTTGATTATTTTTTAAAATATTCAAATTCACAAATAAAGTAAAGGAAAAACCTGGTGGCAATGAATGGAGGCCAGCTGTTGAAGAAAATTGACAAATAACTAATAACGATACAACTAGACGTTGGACCATTTGCTTGGAGGGGAGCCAAACGTAGTCATCCGAGGTGGATGTACAAGTTTGACGTGGAGTAATGACGGTTCCTTCATCAAAAGCTGAGCATGCTCGTGATGAGAGTGAAGATGATGAAGAGGTGGTAGTCGTGCAGTTGGTCGGATGGCGCTCATGTGCTGATCGTAATGTCTTCACTGACGACAGCCCAGTAGATCTGCTGGAGCAGACAGAAGGGCGACGTGGGGTCTGCTTGATCTCGATCGTGCCGATGATTCTGCTCGCTGAGCACGAATTTTAACGTAGGTATCGTCTTGGAATTGTTGTAGAGAAGGTAGACGATGACGTGCTCGAGTACGACTGCTCATCCACTTTTCAGGGAGTCAAACTGTTTCTTTTAGATGAATAGTGGGTGACGTTGTTCCGACGTTTCACGAAGTACGTGGTCGTCAGCTGCTCGTGAATGAAGTACTGGAAGACCACTAGCAACTCAGTCACACAGGAGAAATAGGGTAAAAAGATGGAGAAAAAGAGAATGCTAGTTGATGCTGTGCACTAAGTCCCGCCTCTTTCGTCAAAAGCTTTCTTCCTCAACTTGTGTTACATCTCTCACTCTTTATTTCTCTAACTCTCTCTTCCTTTAAGTAACTATATAGTTTTCTCTGACATGCTGCCATTTATTCCCTTTTAGCCTAGTTTCTCCATCGTTGCTCCGTATATTCACGCTTTCAATTCTTCCTTCTCTTCCAATTTAACCCTTCTGGCGTCTCTACTATTTTTCATTCTCAGTCTCCCCCTGAAGAAGGATTGAGCATCTTCCGCCTCCATCATTTTCGGTCATCATTATATGTCGTCCTCGTCCTTTCATCAACTTCTAATGTCCCTCAACAGCTTTTTGAGAAAACTCATAGAGAGCTCTTCCTACACATTTACCTCTTTCTCCAGTATTCTTGCAAAGACAACTGGCATTTGCCCTTCAATGCCATTTATAGCAAACTATTCTATGAAAGTTCCGTTTTATATCCGATTGATGAAAGAATATTGGTTGTCCACCGAAGAATTTGAGGACTTCAGCTCATAAGGTGCCAAGGGCTTTCACTATCTTGAAACCTTTTTCCACCGTCATAGCCCCATTCTGCTCATCCTCATACGTTTATTTGGATTTCCACGCTTAATGACTATATTTGAACTATCAAGCCGCTTCTAAACGTATTTATGGGAGAGCAAATAAAAACAGATTTCTCATACCCAGGAGGTCTGTGCTCATCTCCATACTAGGAGAAAGGGGCATTTTGGAATGAGCGTGGCCAATTATTGGTTATCCTTCTTTTTTTTCTGTCGTTCATCTAGATCTGTTCATTTTCTACTCCAATCTTTTTTATGGCGAACGAAGCGAAGCTCTCGAGAACTTTCAAAAGACTTTTGAATTATCGATTAAATAATTTTGCTGTGAAAAAGCATGACAATCTTGAGACTTGATGAATGAAAGACAGAGAAGACGAAAGAACCGATTACGCCATGAAGCCAGAAAGCAGACAAACCCCCGTACCACCAATTTGAATTATTCAGATCGACGAATTCTGAAGAACTTTGACTGGAACGGGAAGATCTTGTTCAAACTCTGAAGGCGCCCGATCCACAACGAATTCATCAGGAAATGTCACTCAAAATTATTTTTGATTTCTAACTTACTACAACGCGTTATGAGGGATTTGAATGGTTGAAGAAAAAAACAAAAAAAAAGTTGAAGAAATGAAAACAAGAACACCCCCAGGTATAGTATCATGAGATCTCGAAGGAGCAACAACTTGGAAAAGAGTGAGAGAGTGATAGAGAAAGAGAGTGAGAGAAGCTAATGAAAATGAAGATGAATATCCTCTCGCCTCTGAAGCTAGGAAACAAACGATATAAACACAAAAAAATGTTGATTTGTCAACATCTTTTCGGAAGCATTCTCATAAAAACATTTCCGCTAAAATTGGAGAAAAATGTCTCAATTAGTTAACCTATAAGTTGAGTGAGTTCAGGTCGAATGGGTCAGGGAACAGGCAGTGAAACGTTCCATGATCTTATTCCATTCTCAATGAGTGGAAAGCTTGGTTCTTCGTATGGACGAGGAAATATGTTTATATTCTTATTTTTAACTTCCCTCTCAAGTTGTCATTTGTCATACATTTGACACAATCCACCAAGTGGATTCAGATTTCAAATAAAAAAAAAAGAGTCGAGAAAATTTCAGAAGATTTAGTGAAATATCTTTTATGATAGTTTGGGAACAGCCCAATCTCCATTTGTCTCACAGATACTCAGTCTATCCTTCCTGCTCCGAACTTCTATGGAAAAGACTTTTTTTGTGAAAGGTGAAAGAATCATTGAAGCAAAAGCAATCAGTATTTCATGCGCAGCAGCAAAGACAAAGGAAAAGCTCGCTAGTTCCATATTGTTTTCGATTGAACTTTGAACACCGGGAAAAAAAGAAAAAAACTAACTTGGAGCGGGCGATTTCAATGCAAGTCCTAGTGGAAATTCAATTCTCAACTCCGTGGGTGCAGGCTTCGTTGTACTTGGAACGAAAGTCGTCGTATCGCTGGTAGCCTCAGTAGTCGTTAAAGAGTCAGAGGTGGTTAATATTTCTTGCTCGATTGGCTTTATAACAATTTTCTGAGCATTACTCGAATGAGTCGTAGTGCTTATATTCTGAAGAACATAATAGAACTTTTCAGTTTCATTTGCAACTCACCCCTGCTGTTAGTTTAACTTTCGACATATTACGTTGACGAGAGTTTTGGGAGTTTTTTACATCGTTTGTTCGATAACTTCCTTCGTATTGATATTCTCTTTGTTCCGAACTCTTTCTCTGTGATGACGATAGGTTTTGAGATGAATTTGGTTGAGAACGACTGCTATGAGGCTCAGAAGAATAGGAATTATGGGCTGAGGAAGTTCGGCTCTTAAAAGTCTGACGATCATTATCCGAATCCCGAGTAGTCTCCTGCTGACGCGCTTTTATTACAAAACCACTTCGTTTGTTCTGAAGAGAAGAAAGTCTTCAATTTCTTATAAGAAACGAACATCAAATCTTGAGCTATCCGTTCCTTGCCTGTTCTCGGCATTAGGATTATTCCAAGAGTGGCTCATTTGACTTCTCCCATTTGAAGTTGACGATACAGATGGCCTGAAGATGAGAAAACATAGAAAGTATTGGGAAAAAAACAATGAGCTGAAATCTAATTGACTTCGTTTGAAAGTTATTCTTATAAGGCAGCAGTTGAATAGACTTTGGTTACCTTGTTTGGTTGTTGTTATTGGCAATTAGGCTCGTCTGCTGGCTTCTCATTTGACTTATTAGCGTTTGTTGCCTAATTGTTTCCTGAAACTAAAAGTTTCAAACCGAAAAAGCTTATTATGATAGACAACAGACGGAGGGACACTTACTTTGTGTCGATCATTTCTCAGCGCATCTTCTCGATACTGTTGAGAGCTAACAGTTGATCTTAAGTCATTTGAATATCTTGAGTTATCCCTGGAAGCATTGAAAGGGCTTCCAGCCGTGTGACTTTCCGTTGACTTATTGAACAGAGGACGATAGAAAATCTGTGAAAGAAAATAATTATAAACCAATGAACAACAGGGTAGGTAGGTAACATGAAAACCACAAAAAAAATTGTTTTAGAAAATGCTGAGTTAACATGTCAGTTTAACGACACTTTATTAAAATGGACAAGCAGACAAGCCAAAAGGAATTTAAACATGGGTTGGGTATGGTTGAACGAGGACAACTATTCAATCTATTAGCAAGACTAGTAACATAATAAAAAAATAAATAGAAGGTGCCTTAGGTTCGTTATAGCTTGTAGAAGCGGCAGTAGATGAAATTTGACTTCTTCCAGGTGAATAATTTTGATGAGAAGATGAATCAGTGGGTGATTGATATAAACCATAAGAAGTCTGTTGATTGGCTATCGTAGAGGGTGTCACAGATATCTCTGTTGTCATCCATGACGGCTTTGTTGTTCTAATCGAATTACTAGTGGAATGAGATGTATATGGAATTGTAGTTGTCGATACTCTTCAATTATTGATAGAATATGCACAAGTAGTCATTGATTACCTATTGCTTTGACTGTAGTTTGATGTCCAACTTGTTGTTCGAGACGGGCTCTCAGAAACTGTTGGCTTGGGACGATGTTGGTACGACTGTGCTTCGTCTTTATTTTTTTTATAATCTTCTGCTATTCGAGTTTCATAACGTTGTTGGTACTGCTGAGCAGTTTGATATGATGATCGAGCAGGTGATAGGTGCCCACTCTTAGTGATTTCATCTGAAAGTCAATTCTTGAATTGCTTTATCTGATTTGAATAAAACAAAACATGTTTTCAATTTCTAAGATGCAGAAGATATTCGTAAAACTCACAGATGCATTTATTATAATTTGTGTGTAATCGAATCCAATGGCAATCCGAATTGCTTGAATCACATCTACAGTTGCCTAAGCCGGTCCACGTCAGTCCTTCAAACGACTGCCAGCAGATATCTCTTTAGAAATCAAGAAGTCCAAAAGTTGAATTAAGTATGAGCTTACCGATCAGCCATTGTACACTTGTTTTCTTCATTAACACCACAACTTGTGCGAAACAAACGCCAAAGCTGTCGACAACTAACATGTTTTAAACAAACATCGTTTAACGCTTCATTGCACGTTCCTTTGCTCAACATTTCCCGTGTCTCCAGATCTTAAAAAATTAGCATAAATTAGTTGTTTACACGTGTTGTATTGATAGTAAACGAAGGCATTTCGTGTTTTGCATTTGCACAGAGCGGTTGGTGAAACTTAACAAGCACAAGATGGATTTGAATGTTGATTTCGTTTTTCTACTCTCTAATCGGAGAATCAACTGACCTCCACTCAGCTGTGATTTCCATTCTCTCACTTGATCCGAGAGAGGAATGCGGGTTGTTCTTCGTCTGTACGGCGTTAAAGTTGTAGCTTTGTCGGTGTTACTAGAACGCATATTCAGCCTGCAGAAGTTCACATACCCATATTGTGAAACAATAGAAAGAGTAAAAAACCTCTCAGTACGAAAATGTTTTCGACCAGCTTCATCCAATCGTCTCTCGCATGGATGATTCCATATCAGTTCTCGGAAAAAGTCACAGTCCTCTGTAAGTCCTATAACCGGAAGCAGTTACAAAAACAATGGATTGTACGAAATTACCTAAAGCTTCATAGCACATACATTTCTGATAAGGAAAAAATTCTTGTATTTTACGAATGATAACGACACAATCTGAAGGCGATGGAATGGAACAACCTGAATGATTAATTGGTTTGAACATAAGCTCTAAGTACATACTACTTAAGGAATAGCCACATGTTCTTTCGAAATTCTCAAAGTGACGACTACAACGTTCATCTCGCAAACAGAGTGAACGATGTTCCAAACAATTATCTTGAGTGATAATGCTCCAAGCATCAGCTTTAGAATAATTGATGAATGATGTACAAAAAACTGATTAAATAATGTTGAGATTGATGTTGTAGAAGTGAGGGCTCACCTAAGATTGCTAAAATCATTTCCGTAAATGGAGGGCCCGTCAAGAGCTGAAAACTATTGTGTTAACGCTGATTACGCTCAACAGTTGTTCGCTCAATCGTTCAGCCTCACAACAGACTCAAAAACTCAAAATCAATGACAGAATAAGCGGTGACGACAAGGAAACTGGAGAGTTTCTCAAGAACAGCAGTTAAATCGTTTTTCTTCAATCGTGCAAATGAAGTAAGTGAAAGTCACACATTCTCATTGCACTGAGAAATTTGTTGAAAATGGAGATAGACGCTTCAAGATTTGCGTGTGTATTCTGCCCGTATCTAAAAAAGCTTTGTCAACTGGAGAGAGCGAAGAAGAATTTTGTAATTAAGATAAACAGAAGAAAAGCCTGAGGGTAAGAGTCGCGAAAATACGGAAAGGAAGGCAATAATAAATGCTTTGCATAGATTACAAGATGGTTTTCATTTAAACATCATGAAATAATTCAAAGGATGTCAATTCATTGAAACATTCGAAGATGTTTGAAACATCATCTGGAATCGATCATTGCTTGATATCGTGATAGAGCAAAAGCAATGATGCGAAATACTCTAAAGAACAAGAACTTGGGTAACTTAAATACAACTTCGCGAAGGTGCATAGAGCTTCTTGAATATTCCACAACAATCTCAGACGAACACATTCTAAACCCATGGGGTTATCTTCTCAATACATCAAAAATGTTTGAGGAAAAAATTTAAAGACAAATTTCTTTAGAACAAATCAGCTCTCAGAGGCAGATGACTTGCAGCAATAATGTTGTGAGAGAGAAAGAAAGGCAGAGTCCAGTTTGTGTCCGAAGTTTTCCCCCGGTGTGCTGTTGTAATAGATATCAGCCATGGTTTCCCTCCTCTTTGACTAGCCTCTCTAGCCTTACATCGCTTACTACCTTCCTTATTATCCCTCACCAGTTATAACAGAGATACTTACAACATGTTGCATCTCAACTAGACACCTCAGCTATGATGGTGCAAGTCTCCAGAGTGTCCTAAAAACTGTTGGTCATTCAGAGACGTCTGAGATCGAGCAAAGTGCCAGCGTTTTCCGTCTCCTTCGTGCCCATATTTAACGCAGAAAACTTGAGATCAAACTTCATTCACACGCACAAGCGAAAATTGTCAATGTTACAAAAAGTTGCATAAAAAACAAGGCGGATGCATTAGTCTAAGTTAATCCATGTTATTGTCGTCATCATCGATCTTAGGAGCCAAGTAGAAACGTAAATATCCATTATCCTCGATAGGGTACCTAATAACACAGCATGAAACCATTATAAAATAATAAAACTAACTCAATAACAACTGGAACTTCATTGCACAAGGAGATTCGAACTCTGTCAGAAAGAGAAGAAGCCTTGGTGAACTGGGTCATATATTTAATAGAGAAGTTAACATTGACTGGCTCTCTGACGTCAACGGTGACAGCCTTAAAACAGTAATATTAGTTCTGAACTCTTGGAGGAATACTACTTCTTTCTCATTATCAGCATCTCCAGTTGGGGCGTAAGTAACAACGTTCTGTCCAGAATCTCCCTTACCAGTGAAAGTAATTCCAGCCTGAACAATTCTATTAATATCATCCATTCAAGAATTGTACCTTAGTAGCAGTGATGTTCATGGAATCAGTGAACATAGCCAAATCCTTACAAGTTTTCTGGAATTCAGCTGATGGCATTTCGCAGACAACAGAGTATTCCTGATCAGGAATTCCCAAGTGCTCACAATCAATGTCCATCATTTTTACGGTAACTTCCTAAATAGCATTCAATGATAAGAAGTTTAACAGTGCAACTACCTGAGTCTTATCTCTCTTTGGGTCAGAGAAACAGAGCGTGATGCTGTCTCCATCAGTCTCTTCGTATTTGATCATGCAAGTATCATCGTTGTTAGCACATCGAAGAGCTTTAAGCAAATTGTTGAGTGAAATTCCCAAGTTAATCGTGCGATCGCATCTATAAGTCTCAAAAAGACCAACCTGAAAAAACAATCAAGTTTACCGGGTTTTCGTGTTCATTATGATACCTCCATTTTCAAGGAGACAAGAGCAACATGGGAAGAGTCCATAGCCTGGAGACACATGGCGGATTCAGAGCAGTCGAAAGGAGCATCAGTGACGAGATCCTGAACATTTACTCTGATACTCTCACAGAGTACTACAATTTACCTTGACAGACTCAACAATTCTCTTGAGAAGAGCAGCGTTAGCAAGCTTAGCCTCGAACATTTTTTAAGAAGTCGTCTAAAAGAAAAAAAATTAAATGTTAACACAGCAAACGACAACGTAAGGGCGAGAACTGAAGACAGAATGCCTGAGCTGATTGAACGCTTAGTTTTCGCGCCAAAAAGGAATCACCTTCCCGCCATCGAGCGTAACACGTAATGGTTCGTATTCTTAAGTACCGTAGCTCTGAATTGCTTGTGGGAATTTCAAGACTGTATGAATGAAGAAAATAGCCGGAAGCTATAACACAGTGAGAAGTCATTGAGAAAGAATATGCCCGTAGGCATTTCTTATTTTTTTACGACGTGCTAGGAAACGCGGTTGGTCCTTTTATTTTTCACAGTTTCTAGAGAAAAAATAGAAAAAGGCAAAAAAAAACAATTTATTCTCGGTTTCAACAAAAAGTATAACAAAAACAATTAAACAACGATAACAAATAGAATTCTTAACAATGTTATCTTCTACCTTTGCCTCCTTTACCTCCTCCTTTACCCCCTTTACCTGCTTTTGCACCTTTTCCTACTTTTCCTCCCTTAACACCTAACCCTGAGGCCTTTTTCTTCATATTTTGTGTTTTTCGGTGGTTCATGTAGTCTTCTAGTTGTGCTTGCTTCCTTCTTCCCTTTTGAATTTGAGAGACGTTCCTCAATTCGTTCTTAGCGGTGCTCTGAATTAAACTCTGGATGATGTCTGAACAAAGCACACATACGTTAGCAGTCTTCTGCTTGCCCCATCTGTTTCTTCCACTAAGACTCTTATTCCTGCTGCTATTATCGTCATCATCATCATCTTTTTTCTGGGGAAATATTATGAGATTGGAACTGAGGGAGTTGTTACCTTTCTGAATCCGATCTTCTGGTCTTTCTTCCATTCCTCGTAACGACCACTCTTGTAGGAAGCTGGTAACCATGTACCTTCTTCTGTTCTGATTTTCTTTTGGGATGGATCGTTTCCAGAAACTCCAACAAAGCGTTTTTTCTTACGATCCCTTGAATAATACATAGTTCAAAAATCAACAGCTAATTAAAAAACCATTTCTTAGCGTGACTGTTCTTGTACATTCCTTTGTCATCATCAGCAATCATGTCACAAGCTGCTCCTTCAGCTTGTTTGGCAAAATCGACAGTTTGGAGAGCTAAATGACTCTCAGAAGTATGGTCAGAAGGTTGATATGGTATATAATGTTGTTCCTGAAAAAAATATAACAGAGTAAACATGACTATAGCTAAAAAGTACTTTTTCACGTCGACGTTGCTCAGCTCTATCCGACGGATTAAACTTTGTCGGTTTTACGACTTGTTTGAAAACTGCTTCCTAGAAAATACGGAGAATGAGGAAAGATGAGAGCATTATTACTAATTCTGATTCATCACATTCATCCACTGTTTTCGGTTCTTGTTGTACATTCTCCTGAGCCAGGAGGGCATTTTCCAGTTCTCGTTGTTTCTTCTCGGCGGCTTCAGTGATGAACATCTGATGTTGTTTTCTTTTCTCCTTCATCACTTTGACACCGTCAGCTTTATTTCCTTTATTTAATTCGAAAATTGTCTGAAAAAAAAATTTAGGAAAGAAAAATGATTGAAAAACTAACTGTATGAGCCTTGAACTTCGATAGCCTATTTAAAATATCATATTGTTGCTGGTCTCCTTTCAGGCGGATGAAAGGATGAGTAGAGCATTCGGAAGATTTTATTCTTATTTCTTCTTTCACTCGTTTAGCCGATTGCGCTGATGGTGGAGGTCTCGTTCGGGTATACTTCATCATGGCATTAGTGGCTTTTTGACGGAGGTCGAGCTGAAATAAGTAATATCAACACAGGAGAGATCCATAATTCAAACCAAGTCTGTATTGTTATCATGAATACTATGTAGGAACTCAGTTTCTAAACCGACAACTTCGTCGGGAACTCTTCCTATTAAAGTAACAGATTCTGGAAAATACAGATGAGGCAATTGAAATCACGATATGGCTACCGTCATAATCATCTGAGTCCTTAGCAAAATTCATTGGCTTTCCAAAGAACAAAAACAGGTCTGTCAAATATGGCAGTTCATCTGGAGCGATCAATGAAATCGCTGTTCCAGATCTTCCAGCTCTGGCTACACGTCCAACACGATGGACAAAAAGCTTAGCTTTACCAGGGAAATGAAAATTGATAGCCTAAACATCAAAGAATTAGTTACTCATCCCAAGATCAACACATACGTAATCTAAGTAAGGGATGTCGACTCCTCTAGCAGCAACATCGGTTACCACCAATATGTTGCTCTCTTTTTCTTGGAATCTGGCAATGTTCATTTTTCTAGCTGTAGCATCCAATTGACTGTAGATGAATGAAGGTTCAACACCGGCTCTTCTCAGAACGGCCACAACATATCTTGAAAATATTAATATAGAATAATATCGAAAGTGAATCTGAGTACTCGACGTGTTTCATGGTAGCACAAAAGACAACGGTCTGCTTGTTTTCAGCATTCAAATCACGACATAGGTGAACCAGAGTAGATAGTTTATCGTCCGCCCTGGTCGTTATGAAAACCATCGAGAGCTTATCACTAATTTTTTCATCAACATCCAAACGTACTGAAGATGAAAGTTGAAAAGGAGGCCTTCACCTTTTACTAACTTAAAACAGGGTCAGTTAATCCGGCCTTTGCAAAATCTACCAGCATTCTTGGAAGTGTGGCAGAGAACAAGAGAGTCTGTCTATTTTCCGGAATTCTTTTCAATGTATCCTAAATGGTATGTTATTTTCAAGATTTGTATTCATCGAATAAGTACCGTGAGTTGATCTTGAAATCCCATTTCGAACAATCGATCAGCCTCGTCGAACACTACATACTGAACATGGTTGAGTTTGAGCTCCATTTCTACGACTACGTGAAGTAAACGTCCAGGTGTGGCAATAAGACTGTAAAAGACAAGGATTAAAACTCAATTTTACCAAAACTGAAGATTAGTAGATAATAAGGATCCACATAAATCATCGGTGGTTTTCACAAATTCACTCAGAGATCGGAGCAGTTGAAAACAGAACGATTGGGAAGTTGTGTTTTTTTAAATATGAATTATGAATACTTACATATCAGGGTTTTCATGCATACTCGAGAATTGATCTTCCAGAGCATCACCTCCCACCAGAATAGCACAATGTAAACCAGTGAATCTTCCAAGCTTAAAACATAATTTAATGTTTCGGGTTCTAGTGAATTCTATGAACTGACTTCCTTCATGACTTTGAAAGTTTGTAAAGCCAATTCTCTGGTAGGAGAAATGAGCAGAGCTCTTATACCAGTAGTATCTCTTCCTTTTAGTTTTTGCAACATGGGAATTATAAAAGCTGCTGTTTTACCACTTCCTGTTCGAGACATAGCGACAACGTCTTTACCATCAAGAATGCAAGGAATAGTTTTCCTCTGAAGTTATGGTTTGATTAGATATAAAAAAAATTAGAACCTGAATAGGGGTGGGTTGTTTGAAACCTTTTTTTTCTACACCTTTGAAGACATTGTGATCAAGACCTTGAGAAATCAATTTATATAATTCAGATTCGTGGAATGCTCAAACCTAATGCCTGCCATCCTCCGGCCTTTTTGTATTTTCTATTTCTGTCAGCATGAAGATGAGAAAAGTCTTCGTCGTCTGACATCTAATCAAAGAAAAATTGAGCACCATGATAGCTGTAGTAGTTGAAAAGCAACAAGACGATATCGTCTGATGTAGGAAAACGGTAGAAAGTTTCATATTTTTAGCATGTTAACAAACTTGAACAACAATAAGGACGAAATAAATAATTTGTACAACAATATGCGGGTGAACGAAAAAAAGTTTTACTACATGTATATAAACGGGTCGCTTTATAAAATAAAGTCGAGGAGTACGGGGAAAGGGGTACTAGTTTAGTCTGAGTCACTATTAGAGCTGGAGGCAGCATCTGATTGAGATCCCTTATCTTCCAAATCACCTTCATCATCGTCATTAGATCTTATATTGGCAGGAGAAGCATTTGATCCTTCATCCGAACTGTCAGAATCAACAGCAGCCTAAGCAAGATACATTATTATGAAGTCAAAATAACAATAATTACCTTCTTTTTTCTAGGCTTAGGCACACTATCATCGGAATCATCACTAGAAGGTACTGGAGGTGGAGGGCTATCCGGAACATGCATTGTGCTAGGTTCATCGGACTTCGGAGACTTTTTGTCCGAGTCCGAATCATCATCCTCGGACGAGAGGAACTGTCTACTTTTAACTGAAATGGTTTCAATATCTTCATATCCATATTTTGATCTTACTTTTTGGATTGTTCTTGGCTTGTTTCTCAGCAGCCTTTCGAGCTGCCGCTTCTTTCCTTTTTCTTCGCTTGGCAGCTTTCTTGTCTTCACCATCATCAGATCCACTACCTCTCTTGATTCTTTTTTCTCTTCTTTTTCTTTCTCCTTTTTTGGATTCTTTCTGAAAAATAAACAATCAAAAAAAGGATAAAATAAATCATGCAAACATCTTTCTTCTTCCGCTCCCTCTTTTCGCCGCCTTCTTCTCCATTCTGCCAATCTCCCATATCAGAACTATCATTGACAAACTCATCGCCATCTCCTCCTTTCCTCTTCTTTCCATAGCCTCTGGATTTCTTCTCTTCGACAATCTAAGTCAAACGATGAATGAAAGCTGAATCGGATAAAAAGCGCAAACCTCAGGCATTTTCAGTATATCTTTAGTCATAGACACATAAGTATGACGAAGAGACCGAAGTTCGTCTTCTTTGCGAAGTCTTTCAGCTTCTTTCTCTTGTTGCTCTTCTTGCATTTTACGTAAAAGAGACAAGCGTTCCTGAAAATACAAAATTAGACGAGCTATGTAAGAAAAAAATTACTTCTTCTTGTTTGGCTCTGAGCCGACTCTCTTCTTCATCTTGAAGTTGAGCACGAGCGAGATAAGTTTGAGCCTGTTTCAACAAATCTCTACATTCTCTGGCTTCTTCGCCGGCGGCAGTTCTAGACACATACCGAGCTCCACTCAGTGTATCATCTTTATTATTACTAATGTATGTTAATACTCTAAACAGTTTGAGTTGAGAATTCTTTCTATAAAATCTTCAACAACCTTTCTGCTGTTCTCAAATCGTCAATGGCGCCATTCACCATGGTGGTAGTTGATTTCACATCAGCTAGTGTGTCTTTCGCCATTTTCTTGAGAATGAAAGCGTGGTTAAATTTGATCTGTACATTATCCGGAGCCTCAAATATTGCCCTCTCTAAGGTTTCTCGACCATCCAACAGCTTGTTAGCGCGGAAATATGCTCTGGCCAGATACATAAGCATCAGAGAATCATTTTCTTTGCCAAACTTCTTCATTGCATTTACATACCTATAAAAGTACGCTCAGTGAATAGGTTTTTGTGAATTTGAAACTGACATTTGGATAGCTGGAACATATTGGCGTGTCTCCATATATACATGAGCTATGTTGACCCATACATCGAAGAACTCGGCGGTGGCTTCTCTAACCTGTAAACAATCTTTCATAAAAGATAAACTAGCTTTCCTAACCTGTGTGAAGATATCTCTAGCTTCCAACCATTGTTTCTTTAGTGCCAATACACATCCCAATCCGTTTGCTCCCCACATGTTTTTCGGTTGAATTTTGATTGCCTTTGCAAACATACTGATAGCTCTGTCCATGTATTTTTCATCCTATCCAGAAAAAAACTGTGAAAAACTCTTCGATTTTGAAAATTACATTTCTTCGGTCTCTCATGGGATTGAACAACGATTCTAACCAAATATTTCCCAAGGCAATATGTGAATAGGCATCGTGTTTGAGGTCACCAAGCTTGAGAATGTGCTCGAACTTTTTCTGAGCTGGACCCCACCTGAATAGATAAATACCAAGTCAAGCGCCTCGGATGAGTCACTCACTCATGTTTGGCCATATGTAAATTTCCAATCAAAGTCCAGGCATCAGCATGTCCTGGATTTATAGACATAGCTTCTTTGAACTGAACAGATGCATCGTAAATTTGCCCACGGTCTCTAGCAAGGCATCCTAATCGAATCATACCTGCAAACTCCAAAATTCAAACAAATAAGGCTGAAATCAGCTTACAATCAATGTAATCTTCTCTAATCTTCAAAATTCCTTTGTAAATTTCAGCAGCATCGTCAAACAGGCACATGTGTTCATAACATCTTCCTTTATTATACCGTATGGTAAGCAAAACATTTTGTCCATCAGACGTTTCCATAGCATTTTCCATCTAAAGGGAAACAGAGGTATATCCTTTTCTGAAACAGGAAACAAACCAATAGACGGTGTTCAGCATCGGCGTAGCACTCTAAGGCTTGCTTAAAGTTTCCCAAGTGCATATGAAGAGATCCCATATTATTCATGATTTCGGATGGAGAATCGATCTCTTCTTTACCCAATAAGTCCACAGCGTGTTCATAATAAGCTAATGATTTCTAAGAAACGAATATTCGGAATATCTTGAAGCTTATAAAAAACCTGAGGATCCACATATTCTAATAGTTGAGCCATATCAATTAAGACCTCGATATCATCAGGATACGAAGCTAAATACTTCGTGAATGCCTCTCGAGCCTTCTGTCTCTTCTCCGCATTTTCTCCTTCAGAATGAGCATATAGGGAGCCCACAACTTTTAATGTTTCAGTATTGTTAGGATGCACTTTTAGAATGTTTTCAAAAGCGTGAATAGCTTGATTGAATTCTCCTCTTTGAATGTGCAACTGTCCAAGACCGTAATAAGGAAGAATAAATGAGGGATGATTAAGTGTGGTCGCTTGGTAATAATACTAAAAATGAATAAGATCTCTATGCTTTGCTTTAGTTCTTACTTTGAAAGCTTTGTCATAATCTAAGTTGCAATGGAAGCACCGAGCAAGTTGGAAACAAGCCTCAGCTCTAATTTGATCGCTTTCCGCTATCGACATAGCGTGCCAAGCGAGTTGTTCGGATCGTTCTCGGTCCTGGAAAAAAAATTATTCGATTTGTACAGAAAAATAGCTATTATACCTCTCTGTAGAAGAAGTGATTTGCCAAATGTACAAGAACGACAGGATTTTCGGGTTCGAGTTTGTAAGCTGCACTCAGTCTTTTCACAGCCAACTAGAATCATAATATTATAATAGAAAAACAGTTTGGAAGTCTAACCTGCAGGGATTCTTCGGAATATTCATTGAGATCCATAATTGCCAAAGCAGTCAAAGCGGAAACGTGAGTGGGGAGAATCTCCAAAGCTCTTTCAAAGGCAAGTCTGATGAATTCCAAAAGTAAGCTCAAAATTAATAAGCAAAATAAATACCTTGCTTTTTCAAGTTTGTTCATCCTAGCAAGACAATAACCTATTCCAACTCGGAAATCTGCAGGACCAATGGGTTTTTGTCTCAAACACTAACAAAGATTTATTATGTTTAAAGATCTCAGACTAACTTTCTTATAATAGTATAACGCTGTGCTGTATTCTTTCTTATTGAATGAAATACATGCCATACCCATCATGGCAGCTATATCATTCGAGTTCTACAAATATGAAGTATGAAGAGTAGAATTTTCTGCCAGTAATTTACCTGTTTCAAAACAAAATTGAACTGTTGTGCCGCTGAATCTAATTTGTTCTGCTTTCCCTCCACCAGACAGAAATAAGCTCTTCCTGTGAGATGATCAGTATCATACATTTTTAGCTTATCAGCCGTTGTATATAGAAGAGTTGCTTTGGCGAACAGATCTCTTTTCTTTTCCTTATTTCCTCTCTCTCTGTGAGCCTAAGGAACAGAATAATCAAGAATAATTATCATCGTCACCTACCAATCTAACAAAATAAGCAGCTAAGATATCTAAAGCCTTCATCTGATCGTTCGATACGTCCTCATATTCAAGGGAAGCTTCACTACCAGAGTTTTCCAGTAGTCGGACAAAAATTTCATAATGACCTCTACGATAATATTCTAGCTAAAAAAAAAGATTTATCGAAGAGAGTCGATTATGAGCGTACCCCTAAACGAATCCAGTAATGGAGAAAAGCCTTTTCAGCTCGTAATATTTGAAGAACTTCATCTCCATCAGGTAAATCTTCGAAATTGATCTCGATGCTTTCCTACAAAGGAAACATGTTATTACTCTTGTTGAAAAGAAAAAAATTAAAAAACAAAGATTTATTGATGACAATATTATGTCTCAGTACAAACTAAGGCATAAAGTCTTGCTATCAGATTTTCATCAACGAACGGCTCATACTTGAACGAGAGGCAAATCGCAGTAAATACAGTTTGATGCTCAAATTCGGAAATATCTAATAATCCATTTCGTTTGGATTCTAACTCAGTTGAGTACATGCTTATAACTTGAGGTAAACAATCTAGGAGGGTAGAAATTATAAAAGTCATTTGAGGACCAGCATTTGGATACAATTCAGAATATGCGTTCGTGCGGGTCATGGCAATTCCAAACTTGTCAACAATTCTTTGCAGTTTATCAAGATTTTCGTTGATATAATGCATCTGCTCTACTATTTCTTTAAGGGCTTGTTTACGTTCTAACTCAGGTAGCTGCGCAGAAGAAAAATCGTCAGAAGCGTATGAATTACGAGAGAACAAAATTTTCAATCGGTTATTAACAAGCTTTTCTATCTGAGACGCTGTTGTTCGAGAACAAACTATCCAATTTTGGGTTAAATTCCAAACTTCAATAGAAAACCTTCGCAGAGTTTTAAGGAGAATAGCCTAGAAGATCCCCCTTATTCATTTCAAGAAAAATAATTCAAAAAATAAATTCAAAATACTTACATCATCCACTGTACCTCGGAGCGGGATAACTACACAGTTTTTGGGAGGATCTTTCCTCAAAGCTCTTTCTTGAGCTGTTAAAATGGTGGCCATGATGGAAGCAGAGGCCGGCCACAGAAAAACCTTGAACAGAATTTTTTTTTGAATAGATTAAGATAAACGAACAAAGACACAATACTATTCCTTAATTTGTCGCAAAATTCAAACGAGCATATCGAAAAAAGATTTGAAACCAGGAAACAAGCTTAATTATGTAGAAAACCAAGCTATGGCGTTTATTTTCGAGGTTCGCAATGGAGCGCACAATTGTATTCGGGTCATGGAAACTAACATTCATGAATGAGAAGGTATTAAACGAATTTAAGGAATATTGAGAACTGGAACAATTATTCGAAAACTGTTTCATTTAAACTTCGACTTTTGGAAAGGCAGATATCATACGCAAACATGGAAGGAAATAGAGGCGAAAGAAGCTTAAGTTGCTCTTACTGGTCAAAAACAGTGTTTTGGGCAAATATTTCTCACTTCGAATCATTTTTTGACACTTTCTATGCAAATATAAACTGAGAATACTGGAAGAACAGGATGTTCATTTTGAATTCTCGAATGAAGTCAATGCGGTCATGCTCATTCGATTGTTCGTGTAGATAGGTAGGATTATTTCAAATATGTTGAGGGAAATCCCTGAGCACCCCAATAAGTCCTCATTTAAAAGAACTCTCTGTTTTCGTTAACAACCTAATTCGTTCTATTTAAAGATTTTGTATTTCTATGAAATCGATGCTTTTTCCTTATCCAAATGAAGTTATTATAGGATCATGACGTAAAATCTTCGGGAAGCATATAAATAAGCTTCCGCCAAATGGATAGGATGAAGCGGTATCTTCTGCTGCAAAAAACAGAGTGAATCAAGGTAGTCTCGAAGCTTTAAAAAGGTTTTACCTCTAAACATCCATCTTATCTGCTTATATTATTTGATATTTTGTTTTTTAAAGATATTTTGTTCACAATGATGAATGTTACTCTGATATTCAATTGCTTCAAAGTTTAAACTGTTTAATCCCTTTTCATCTTTCAGGAGGAGTATATAAGCTTTCGTAATATTAACAGCTTTCAGTTGTATCCCAGCATGGAATGGGTTATCGCTAATGACGGTTTCATGAATGTACCTTCGTACGATTGCAGGTAAGAAACACAGTAGTAACCTCATCTCATGTCTATTCAGTCAAAGAAGCTCTGAGAACTGGACTTTAGAATATGGGAAGGAGTCGACAGTTCATGGTTGGCTATCACTTACCTACGGGATAATCATCGAGGTAAGTCATTTAGTCTTCTCTACATTATTCTTTTCTTATCTCAGTTCTTATATATCCCGTGTTTGATAGTTATTGGAGCTAAAAAAAACTTTTGCCATTCTTGCTTCAAACTTATGTTCGCCCTGGGCGTTGTGAATATGATTTCGGTGGCTATAAATTCGATCATCAATGGTATTATTTCCCTCAATGTATCAGTACTGGAAGCTATTTAAGGTGCTTTTTTGTTGAAAGGCGTCGTCTACTGCTCATGTCCAGAATTCATTTATTTCATTGGATCTCTATCTATCTGTTAGTTTTTCTAATCATTTTTTGTGTTCCAAGAATACTATTCAGTGCTCTGGACCACATCATGTTTCCTTTGTGTGGCTCTGGTTCTCAACAGACTGTTTGATATTTCCAGGATAAGGTTGTAACTATCGTAGATTGAAATCAATTGTAATTTCTAGCCTTCATACTTACCATATGATTTTCCGAGGTGACAGAACGCATGGTATTGTGTTTTTGGCATTTGCCTATGGTGCATTCTTCTTTTTCTTTTCCCGACCAACTGTTTTCAATTCTAAAATAGGCGCTTGGCTATTCGACCCACTCATCACGGAGCCACGATCTCCACAAGTAAACATAAGAAATCATACATATACTAGTTTTTTTTCATAGTATGATAATATATTCTTCACTCTTAATAACATGCTGTTCATTGGGATAATAATCATTCTCTACGCTTTCTTTATTGTCACAGTTGGCCGTCAGATGAAAGAGAATTTCAATGCTACTGATAACAACCGCCGAATTCATAACCAGGTAGTCTTTCGAGGAGCTGGTGCGTACTTATATTAAAATTTAAGATCTTTATACAATCCTCTCTCATATCTTCTGTGGTGTTCATATCTTGTATTCTTTATATTATTGAGCAATTCTTCAAGGAGTCTCCATACTTGACCATTGTTGCTCAAATTGGTTGGCAACTATCTCATGGTTAGCTAATATACATGAGTTATTAGTAATTGTAATTAAAGGAGTGCCAGCCATTATATATATAATCATGAACAAAACGATTCGAAAAGGTGTTCGTCATATTTTTTTGCCACATCATCATCATTCTATTTCTTCCAAATGTAAGCATCTAAAATTTTGATTCCACACAGAAGATCATTTTTTTATAGAGCTTTAACGAGAAAAAGGTTGCCGACTACAGTATTGAACCTTTTCAGCAGAAGAAAAGAATGCTTTTTGATTGCTTGAATGTTAGAGTGATAGAAGTATTAGTCAAAATCCTTTTCTGCTTTTTAATCTTCCTAATCTCGTCATGTCTTTGTTGTCGAAGACAAAAAAATGTTCTGCATGATCTTACATAGAAATAATAAAGAATATCGTCCATGAAAACAACCGGTCTGCTCCGTCAAAAAGTAAGAAATGGCTATAAAATTCCCCACGTGAACGGGAAACACAATATGCTAATAAGGTTAAGTAACGGCCAATCGAACATGATTAGAATAATACAAATAATAAGCAATCATTTCAACAACAACTGATGTCGTATTCTCCATGCACACTTCATAATATCAAGTGATGTCGGAACAGTTCTGGATAGATCTTTCCCATTTCATATCCCAAGCTCGTAATGAGCAAACGAATCATTTTCTTCAATTATGGGTGGAAAACATTACAGCTCCTATACACTCCAGGTAATCTCTTTCTCATAATGTTTCTCGCTGAGTTTATCTATTTTAGTGCTACTGAGAACGTAAGTGAAGACTTCTCAGATGTTCTGACAACTTATTGCACTTCTGTGAAGATAGAAAAAATGAAAGTTGATAGCGATCAAAAGACGATTCCAGTAAATGATGATGTTTTGAGGAAAATTTTATTAAAGGATATTGACTGCCAATATTCTAATAGTAATGATACATTTTTGCTTAAGATTAATGTCGATGAGTCGCATATTTTTGAAGAAAATCAAATGTTTGGATTATTCAAATACATGATCAGCCAATCGAGATACAAGAACTGTATAGTACAGTCGATACGTAAGCTCGTTCTGACGAACATTTTGTTCGGCTCAATTGATTTAACAATGAGTTATAACGACTCTAATAATTCATTAAACATATATCTGTGTAATCATAATGGATTAGTTCTCTCGAAAATGGAGGAAATATGTTTTCTGAACAGCTCAACAAACCAGTCATCAATCCAAGCTTACATCAGGAAGCTTGGATACAACTGTGATGATTTGGAGGAAAGCTTCACTCAAATTGGACTGGATTCCCTGGAAATTAGCCAATTTAACATACATCTCATGGAGAAGTATCAGTGTGATTACGGAATAACTGAAATATTTCCTACCATATCGCAATTGTCTGAATACTTGAATGCGTCCAAGAAATCTTCAACGAAAGAACACGAGAAAGGGACCACTTTGTATGAGCTTTCTCCTCAGCAAATTCAATTGGTTGTCATGAACGAGATGTATTCTTCGGAAAGACAACAGTTTTCTGAAATATTTTCTTTGACTCTCAACAAGTCCAAGTACAACCCCTCTATCATCCACAAATCGCTGATGAGAGTTATCATGAATCAAAAAGTTTTTCGAACCTTATACGAACCCTCTAACACCGTTCCATTCACTATCCTGTCAGGAACAGAGTGTTTTCTCTCCCAACATCATCGAAAATCTCTTTATGATCATTTGACAATTAATATAACAGAAGAAATATCTGTTAAGTTTTCAATCTTAGAGGAAGCATCGCAGTCATGGAAACTGTTCTTCAACTTCCATCATATAGCAGTTGATGCCTTGTCTATTTCTGCTATAATGAAACATCTGTTCTTCAATGCTCAACTTCCGACCAAACAGTATTTTGAATGTTCGTTCCAAACAAAAGAAACGGACAACGCGTATTGGAGGCAAAATTTAACCGCTACTGAAAAGCTTCCAACTGAAATGCCTCGTCGAGCTGTGCATTCATCTGTGGGAAAGCGTTTAGAATTCAGACTTCCTAGCCATTTCACAGATGTTCTCAGAAAGCTTCGTAAAACAACTAATTGTTCCGACTTCTCAATATTGACTTCAATTCATTTATTATTAACTAGTAAGACATCTTTCCTGAACCAGTTTACAGTTGGTATTTCCGTAAGTACTAGGAAGGCCGATACTTCCGATGTCATTGGTTGTTTCGTGAATACGTTACCATTGACAGTGAACATTGAACCTGATGAGACCATTAGCAATTTCATAAGAAAAGTTGATAAATTAATCCGATCAATGCAGAATCATTCTTCAGTCCCCTTCCGAGATTTAGTGAAGCAGAGTTCGCCTGAAAGCATCTTCGATGCAATGTCTTTATTCCAGGTGAGGATATTAGAACTAACAGAAAAAAACTTTTTTTTTTACAGGTTTTGTTGGTCCAAGATTTTGTTGAAATGCCCGTAGAAGGTATACTTGAAACAAATTGTTCACATACGATAATGGCCAAGTACGAACAAACTTGGTACTTTCAAAAGAGCTTTGATTTATATAAGATAATAATAGAATATCAAACAGATATCTTCTCAGATAGCTTTATCAGAAAAATAGGGCAGAAGTTTTCCTTTCTTCTCAATGCACTTACATATCAGCTCAATTCTCAGTTATCTGAAATATCTATCTCCTCAACAGAAGAACAATGCTTGATTGAAAATGAGGAACACGAAAATAAAATAGATTTTCCTTACTCAACCATCTTTGAGTACTTTTTTCAAAATCAACAGAGCTCGTCTAGTTATTTCGAATTCTGT